GCCTCACAATTTAACTAACAAAGACAATCTACTGTTTATTTTCATTTAGTAAAATGTTACTTTTCAGAACACATAAATATCCCCCTTGAGCCATACAAATACACATATACACAGTCATTCAGACAATCATATAGGCATACAGATGCATATACTCAGCTATCCAAACACACAGCCATACAGACACATACAGTCAGTCAGCCAAATAATCATACAAATACAGACATACAAACTTATGTAGCATACATACAGATACACACTAATACTGACACAGATAGCCATATAATGAAATTAAGTATAGGGACTTTAAGTAGACCTCATGAGACAGGCCCATTACTTCAGGGAAGGACCTCATCCCTAGTGTCATTTGGCACTTCTAGTAAGAGTTTGTAGGAGTTCTACACACAGCTCCATCGCAGCCCACTCTGTAGTGACGTTATTTATCACTACAGTCCGAGCTGCCAGGAGCAGTGTGTAGAACTTGGCTGTCCAGTGTAGCAAGTGGGCAGATAGAATAGTCTGAGACAATTATTTGCAGCAATTATATGTAGTACAGGTATGAATGCCCGCCCATGGATAACTGAACTCCTCTAAGACTTTATTTGATTAACATCAAAACAGACTTAACTAGCAGTTTCCACTGGCACACTAAGATTCTGAATGATAGGTGCACAAAGGAGGTTTTGTTTAAGTGTTTAGGGACACTATAGGCAACAACACAAATTTGGCTTAAAGAAGCAGTTTTAGTGTATAGAACATGACACTGCAGTAACATGGCTCAATTCTCTACCATTTATGTCACTTTGTTTACCTCCCTGCATATGATTTACACAACCTTCAAAAAACATTTCCTGTAAAGAGAGATCTAATGTTTAAACTTCGTTTATTGCAAAGTGTGTTTTAGGATTTGTCATCTGCGACTGTTAACTGTGATTTAAATCCAAATTACAGAGTAGGACAAAAACTTCTTTAATATCATCTGATTACAAACTGAAGTTTTTTTTAATCCCGTGTGGCAAGAATTGCATAAACCAAAAAAGTGATTTTGTTTCTAAATGGCAGAAAATTGAGCAGCAATACGGCAGGGACATATTCGGGGGACTTACCCCAGAGACGGGAGGTATCCTATACCGCTGACTTTATAGAGTTTCCGACCGTGATCGGCGGCAAACCCGAGGCCTTCTCACAGCAGACGTGGGTATTGCAAATGGGGTATGTCCAGTCGTTTTTAGTAGCCACTTGGTCACAAACACTAGCCAAAGTTAGCGTTACTATTTGTGTGTGGGGAAAAATGCAAAAAAAAAATAATAATTTGAATGCCAGTTTTGGCCAGTGTTTGTGACTGAGTGGCTACTAAAAAAAGACTGGACATACCCCATTTGTAATATCTTGGGTTGTCTACTATTGCAAATGGCATGCCATCATGGGGGTAATTTTCATTCCTGGGTTACCATACGGTCTCAAAACCAACGTAACCAATAAAATGACCTAATTATGTAAAACTATTACATAAATATATATGTAGAATAAATATGTATATATTGGGTTAAAATGATGCCCTCTTTTGTAAGATACAGAAATTATAAAAGTTCTAAGAAGTATAGAATGGAAAGACACGTACATCATAGTAACGAGTGACGTGTCATCTCTCTACACATCAATTCGACAATTTAGGATGTGATACAGTTAAATGCTTAGAGGGATCAGAAAAATATACAATCGAGCAGATAGAATTTCTTATGGATTGTATCTACTGGATCTTAACTAATAATTAGTTTTTTATTCCCAGTTTTATCTACAAGAGCAGGGTACGGCTATGGGGGCCAGGTTTGCCCCCAATCAAGCAAACTTATTTATGTCAAGGTTGAAGGTGTTTTTTTTTTTTTTATCTACGAGAGCCCTGAATGGGGGACAAACCTGGTCACCTACTGTAGGTACATAGATTACCTGATTTTTATTTGGGATGGGTTTGTGGAATTATTAGATTAAATGTCAACGACTGGGGCATTACCCTTACGAGTCAATATAGCAAGACTAATGCAATTTATTTAGACCTAGATATATACATTGGAAATAATGAAATTAAAACTAAAAAAATGTTTCAAAAAGATAGACGCCAACAATTATTTGTTAATAGTGGTCATTACACACCTTGGCTTACCAACATACCTAAGGGCCAATTCCAGAGGATTAAAAGAAATTGTACTAGTACAGCAGTATATGATGAACAGTCAGAATCCTAGTAGGAAGATTTACACAAAATAAATTATCTTATTTCTAAAGCTAGAGAAGAATGTAGAAATTTAAGCCAAGATGATTTAATAAGTAACACTAAAGTGACAAGAAATAATGAAAATACTCCCCATGTGTTCGATTTTAATGATAGTTTTAAGGAAATGAGGTATATTATTAACTAACACTGGCACCTTTTAAAGAAAGATAGGGAATTGCAGGCACAGGTACCAGATAAACCTTTTATAACTTTCAGAGGGGCCCTAAATTTTAAAAGTATTTTAACCCACATTCAACCTTTCAATAAGTTAATAAGTAGAAATAGGAAGAGCAATTTCTTAACTCATAGAAAAGGTTTTTCTTGCAATAAATGTATAGGCTGCATTTGCAGCAAGAATAAGACTCTAAAAAGCATAAATAAATTTAAAACAAATCTAATAACAATGAATTTTATATAAACGATTTTATAACATGTTTTACCAGGAATGTAATTTACCTGTTAATATGCTCCTGCTGGCTACAATACATTGGACGAACTATACATCCATTACATAAAAGGATAGCTGAACACGTCAACAATATTAAGAAGGGCTATGAGCAACATAGTGTTTTGGCTCACTTTAAGAAGTTCCATAATATGGATCCGAGTGGTATAATTTTTCTTGGCATACAAAATGTGAAAAAAGTATGGAGGGGTGGTAATTATATTCAAAATATAGAAAAATAGGGAATAAAGTGGGTGTATGGATTAAATACATTGGCACTATATGGACTAAATATTCAGTTTGATATTTTTAATTTTTTATAGTGTTTTTATGCTTTTGTATTCATTATATTGGAGTGTTTTATTAAAAAAAAAAAAAAAGGATGTGCTTTTTTGCATTATCTATGGTTTACATATTGTCTCTTTAAACAAGTTCCTTTACATATGAGAAGGTTTTTATTTAGATAAGCTGGTTGGAATAAATATAAACCAGTTTGGAGGATATGGCTAATTCACTATTTTTTTTTATTTTATAATTTTAATTCCTCCTGTATTTAATGTGGATTGATTATACTTTTAAACGAGTTGGTTGGAATATGCATAAATAGGTTGGTAAGATATAACCAGGGAGACTCCAAAATACCAGACTTTTGGACTAAAACATGCCCATAGGGTGGCTTTAAATAATGATGGATATAGACAGAGAGACTAGTTGAAGTGTCATTTTGCACAATATTGAAAAGCACTTAATTTTGTTTGAACATTGTTTTATGGTAATGGTATGTACAATATTAATGTCACGTCTTTAAATGCACAGCGCACTATTTCTTTTTTCGGTTTGAGATTTTCTATTAGTGTTGTGTAGAGCTGAATACACTAAAATGTTGCTATTTTATTAAAAAGAGTAATGTAATTTTTAGCGCCATGTAAGTTTGTAATTTTTCAATTTTAATGTAAGCAGAGGTTTGGTCATTACAAACCTTTCATGACCACACTCTCCCCGTTTTCACAGTGAGGTAGATAGCCACCTTCTTGGGTCTTTAAACATATTAAAGACCCGTGAAGGCAACATTGCCAGTTGGGGAGCAGGGGCCCTGGTTGCAGCCGAGGTAAGTTACACTTATCTGATGTCCCCCATCTTTGATCTTCAGTGTCTGGCTCTATATCTGCCAGGAACTACGTCAATGCTTTATTCTAATGTACAACAATGACGTCTATGGAGGATTCAGCAAGACTGTAGGAGCCACCATAGGACAAAGTAGCCCCTTATGATATATTTTGACTTATTACTAAAAACTTTCAACGGCGTTCATCTGAACTTCATTGGGACTCTGCACATATTTTTACTGGGTACAAAATGCAGACTAAGACTTATTTACATTGTATTAAATTGTAAAAAGTAGGAGGTATATTCTTCACCTTTGTTATCCATCTCGTATATATATTATTTTGTTAGAGAAAATAACTGGGGGCTATGTTTGCTACTACATGAGACTGTGCCCTGTAGAAATTACTTCAAGTTAAAAGATCATGATGAACATCCACAAGCACCTTTCTATATAAAAGGAATATAGCTTATACGCATGACAATCACACCTACAGCTTGCTTTTCCATAAAGTTAATGGATGACTAGGGTCTGGGTGAAGTCAATATGCTATTTTCTAGCTGAAGGAAAGTCATCTACTAATCATATTTGTTCCCCTGGTAAGCAGCTATTGTACTTTTAATTGTAGAGGAGTTATATATATATAAATAAATGTTGACATGTGACTGCAATGGTTTACTTATTGTAAAGCGCTGCAGAATAAGCTGGCGCTATAATTAATAATAAAAACATCTCCCCTCCACCCCCCTCATTTTGGGGATTTTTATACCAATATATATTCATGAATCTGCACACAAGTCCTTTTGTGGACTGTTTTAACCCTATAACAGTTTTTTACACTAAAACCAGGGCTTGACAAATTTGCTTGGAATATAGGAGCAAGCTAAAAAGGTTAGGAGCCATTTCTTTGTTTTTTTTTTTTAACGAACAAAGCATTATTTTCAATGACAAATAAAAATTTTAAAGGGACACTAGTAGCTACAGCTTAATATAGTGGTTCTGTCTATAGCCTGTTCCTGCATGCTTTTCGATCTAAAAACACTGCCCTTTTCATTTACGTGTATGCATTGTTTGCCCGCTGTTTACCACTGCAGAATATATTTTTAATGGAAGTTAAAAAATTAAAGAAAATAAAGAAAACGTGCAGATGAAAAAAACAAAAAACAAACAAAACAAAAACATAGGCAGTTATGTGACAGTATTTTATGTTTAATACATCTGAAAAGTATGCATATACAAAGAACGGAGACATGAAACAAACCATCGGTTGAAAACACTAATGAGTCTACAAGTTATTAATTTGGGAAGGTGGAATATATTCCCTAAATATTAAAAATAATTCTGGAAATAAACCATGTGGTTTTGGTAAAATCTGTATTAACACTGGTGTCTATATTTTCTTTACATTATCTCTGAAACATGAATTCAATCCCAGGCTCCTTGGGTTAGGTTTACATGCAAACTGTACATTAATAGGACAATGACTGGTCCCTCAAATATCAAACTAAACAAAATAAAAACCACTCCCTCCTTACAACATAAACAAAAAGAAAAATGTAAATCAGGCACATCTATTTAACATGGATGTGAAACTATTTGTATTTATTAGACAGACATATTGGTAAGAAAATCAATTATGTGATCTAGAAAAGACTAAATCTAAATTAGTCAAATATGTTTGCCAAGATACTCCAGGGCATGAAATAATCCCTACTTTCTGCCAAAGAGGCACCCAACACTTATCTACCCTCTAACTTAAAGAGTTAGAAATTAAAGATGGAGAAATATTCTGGAGAGTCAGTGCTGAAATGGTTCGACTCTATATGTCAAGAGTCAGAAACCTGGACTTTAACAGTTGAGGAAGTAGATTACAAAGGACATTTTGATTTTGGAAACTAGAATCATGCTTGTCTAGTGCCAACTCGTGTCCTAGATTGGCAGCAGGCTTAGATTGGGGTCTTAGACTTTAGGTGAGCATGGGAAAACAACGTGCCGACCTGCCCGATGTTTGTGCAATTATACAGTAAAAAACAGAAAAAAAAATTCCTGCCAACTTGGTACAAGAGTTGGGCTGATAAAACAGAGCTTTAAAATTAGTCTGTTACCTACAAAGCATGCCTTGCTCTTAATATAAGACATTAGAAACAGTAAATATACAAAAAAAAAACTAGTAACAATGTGTGTGTGTGTGTTTATGTCTATGTGTGCTCCTGAAGATACACAATTGTTCATCTATTTTTATGTTACATAAGTTGTTGGGTTTGATTTTTCAGACACCCCTTTGTTTAAGGGTGGTAAACGTTGGGCAGGGGGGAAATTATATTTCATCTTTAGTTTGATTTAAACATTGCTTTTAGTTTGACGTCGACACCAGCTTTGCAGAAGGAGGACCATGGATGGTGGGTGTTCATAGCAGCACGCACTTGCGTTTCTTCTTGGGCTCTGGGGGCTCCAGGGCGGCCAATATCGCCTCATCAAATACATTCTTTAGGCCTTTCTGAAAAGGGTCAAAGAGAGAGAATGGGCAGTCTCATTTTAAGACATATTTAAGCCAAAAAACCCAAACATAAACGTGATGCATAACCAAACAAAATAAAAGTTGCCACTAAAAGAACCACATTTGGACTGAGTTTTGAAGATTGAAGTCATCTTTTAGCTTGTGATTAATGAAAACAAAAACTTGAGGGTTTACCTTGAGCAGAGTCAGAGGCCACAATAAGGATATTTAAACTTAAATATGTATTTTGGAATGATTAGGCAGTCAAAACAGTACAATTCATGTCACCAAAAAGAAAAAAAAAAAAGGAATAGACACCAAGCAAAATTTGTAACCTGTTAAAATAAGGACTCCCGGAGACTAAGAGAACATTAAGAAGCATGAGAGCAAACACTGGCACCAGCAGATCTTCTTTAGTTTTAGTAAAGTCCTCTTTGGTTGAAATCAGTTCATTTTTAGAGCTTCCTTTCGAGCAAGTCCTTAATATGGTTTCAGCAAAAAGCAAATAGGTATAGAAGCTGGATGTAAACATAGATGGCAAATTGCAATAAACCAGGTAGCAAGCACACACACATTTAGCAGGCATTTTGTATAGATTCCTCAAACTGTTGTACAGAGTTTCCAAAAAGCAGCCATTTAAAAAAATAAAAAAATAAAATTAAAACCCATGTAGGACATCATATTAAGTGCACCCGCTATAGGCTACCACCCATCCCCAAAATAACGAAATCTAGGTCTGGACCAAAACTATGTTGCAGGCATCAATTAGCAGGCCAAACTTAGCACATCTTACTGTATTCCAAAAAAAAAAAAAAAACTGTTCACAAAGCTTTATCAAAGTGACAATTTCAATTATACAAAATGGAAAAACATGGATTGTGTTCAATTGTCCATTTTACCACAAAACTAAAACAAGAACACTACAATGTGCAAAGCAAAAATGGCAAAGGGCAAATAAAAAAAAAAAAATAAAAAAAAAAAATAAATTATATATATATATATATATATATATATATATATATATATATATATATATATATATATATATATATATATATATATATATATTTAATAGAAAAGAAAAATGTGCTCTTCACCCTTCCAACTGGCAAGCTAATTACAAATAAACACTCACATTATGAATAACTCACAAAGAAAAGTCTTTCTGTTCATTTTTTTTCTACCCCTCCTCTTTGTAAAACAAAAACATGAATTAAAGAGTTCAAACCCCTGTGCCGCAGAAGCACTTAAGACATCTGGTTTATGTCTCCATCATTTAACACCTTTCCTGCACAAAAAGTCAACAATGAATGTCAGCCAAAAGGGTTGAGAAAAAATAAAATAAAAAATAAACCCTCTAATTTAATAAGCATCTTCAATACAATATTCATCACTGACTTGATCCGTTTAAGGCCATGAAATTATGGCAACCCAAAAAAACAGTTAAGAGTCCAATTTTTAAACTGCCTTACAATAAGGACTGAAGGAGATGAATGCAAGTCTCATTTTGGGATTTTTAAGGAAAGACGCACAGGTTTTGCCAACATATTTGTTTTATTAGATTATGAATGGTTACTCTTTTTTTTTTATTGTGTTGCTACAGTAGTGGGACAGAGGAAGCAGCATCAGGGGGAAGAGGAGAATACAGTTTAGAATATACAGCACTTCCTTTTTGGCTGAGTTTCCGGAGGCTCGAGGGCAGCTAGGATAGCCTCGTCAAACACATTCTTCAGACCTCTCTACAAGACAGAGGGGAGGAAAGAAAAGAGCAGCCAGGTTAGAGTATTAGAGAGAAATTAACAGCAGATACAAAAAGAGTAAGCCGAACTGACAGAATACCTAGTCACCAGAACACCCATGGCAGAAAGAGAAAGATTTCATGCTATGGTTAGTAGGATTAGCAAATACATATAGAGCAATAGGTATGCATTCAGAGAGACCTCTTTTACTGCACATGTAGAAATTGACAGAACACTTGGTTTCCCAATTGTACAGCGCTGCGGAATTTGTTGGCGCTTTATAAATGCTAATAATAATAATAATAATAATAATAATAATAATAATAGGACACTGCTCATTAACAGAACCTCTAGACTTAGATTGTCTAAAGATCCATCTCCTTGCCGTGTAAACTACAACTCCAGTGATGCTTTGCAAATGTGTATGATGGAAAAGCATCAAAGGAGTTGTAGTCCTACACCAGGGATAGGCAACCTTAGGCACTCCATATGTTTTGGACTACATATCCCATAATGCTGCCAAAGGTTGCCTATGCCTGTCCTACACCATTTGGGGATCTCCCCAGCCTGCCATGTTTCATCTAGAACATTTCATGGTGAAACCTCACTATTTCAGAACTTTGCTAGGTTAAAAAGCAGGCTCTAATCCTGATACAATACAGTTAAAATGGTTTATATCTTGTGTTTATTTTTCATTCCACTTAATGTATTTCTTGGGGCCCAAAAAAATACAAATTCACCAGATTGTAAGAGAACGGTCACTTCCTATTTTGTTTTTGACTACTATATTTTATTCTGTGTGTAATAAACATGTTTTTGTAAAGAGAAAGCCAATTATAGGTAGCTTTATTCAAATGTGTAATATTTTTTTTTTTTTTTATATAGCGCCATCAGATTCCGTAGCGCTGTACAATGGTAATATTCAGGGAAGTGACAGTTCCACTTTAAAAACCCATTTCCTGCACATTGGTAAGCTAGCAGCTGCTATCTCAATCATAGAGTCTGACTGGCTCATGACATCAAAAAACGTTCTCTAAGACAGGTTTTGTTTATGAATCAGTAATTTAAAATGGTGTTGCAAAGTTCAATATGTTAATCTCCACATTGACACATTTTCAATTGTTAGTTCTAATTTTAACTTACTAAGCTTACTTAGTTTAAAACACTACTTACTTTAAACTGATTTATGAGAAGAAATTGAGGTCACAGTGCCACTATAAGAATTATTAAATGCCCCCTCCCCACTGTCTTATACCCCACTGTAAATTAGAGTGTAAAATGTTGGCACTATAGAATTGTTATTGTTAATATGTTTACACGCTCAACACAAGTTTATCTGAAAAGAATACCCATTACTCACTACTTGTTCATTGGTTTGCCTTAACTCACACTTGCAATGCTGAATGAGCAGGCCTGCCTCTAAACTTTGCAGAGGTCTATCCAAGTGCAAAGTCAAACTCTGAATTTCCAATCACCCATAGTCTTGTACAGTAAAATTCGATATATTTGCTATGTTTCAATCTGCAGGATTTGATGTAAGCCAACAAAAATAAAGGCAGAGTCAGAGATCAAAGATAAAGTGTTAAAGCTTCCCAACACCACTCTTTTTACAATACTTTTTTGTTTTGAGCTATATAAAAAAAAAAAAAGGTACCACAATAATTTAAGAAAAACTCTTGACATAATGAATGATAAAATGAAGAACTTTATAAGCTACGCTGACATAAATTTTTTTTTTATAATTTTGCAATATTGAAGCACCATAAGATGCTGTACCTTTTGAACAAGCCCTAGTAACAGACTAAGCTTTCTGCAAGCAACAAGAAAATATAAAAAATCCAAAGCAGCTTGGCACTCTCCTTACTAGAAAAAAAGAGAAAAGTAAAATTGCCTAGGTGCAACCCGCATTATGAATATAAGTATACAGACAGGGGTGCACTCACAGGTCTTAAGAAAGAACGACAATCAAGTTATTAAAGTGAAAAAATCTTCATTACATCCGTAAAAAACGACGTTTCGACCCCTAAGGGTCTTTCTCAAGATCCCTTAGGGGTCGAAACGTCGATTTTTTTCACGGATGTAATGAAGATTTTTTCACTTTAATAACGGGATTGTCGTTCTTTCTTAAGACCTGTGAGTGCACCCCTGTCTGTCTGTCTGTCTGTATATATATATATATATATATATATATATATATATATATATACATACACATATATATATATACACACACACACACACACACACACACATATATACACTGCTCATATCAGAATGACCGTAAAAAATTAGCGGTTTTAAAGGGACACTTGGATTTTGATTAACTATACAATTAATTTGCTTTGTTTCACTACTTTGAGGCCACATTTTTAGTATGGGAAAATAAAAATAAAGACGGATGTAATGAATGAGAAAAAAAATAAAAAAATAAAAAATCACAATGCCAACCTTTCCTCCGTTCCCAAACATTTTAGTCTTAAAACAGGAGGTGACTTTTTAAAAAAAATTTATTAGACAAATAAGGTGTGACTTGGCACTTCTATGATTGCGCAACAATCCCCTGTGTCACCGATCACCCACTAGGGCACAATAACAAGAAATGGGTTCTATTTTTTTTTTTTTTTTTTTTAAACCTTAAAGTACATACATACTTCAGTTTAGTAAAGAGTATGCTAAAGTTAAAAAAAGAAGGACTTTCCCTTTATGCACACGCACAGATACTCAAATGCAGGAAGGAAGAGGGGTGGACAAGCCGATTTCCCAACTGTCCATAATCCACAGCCAACACTGTATTTCAAGAGCTTGAGGTGGGTGCTATCCAACCCACAGTTAAAATGACAAGCAAAAAGCAAATGAAAATAAATGCCATGAGAATAACAAAAAATTTGAATTAAAATAAATAAAAATATATGGCTGATACAGCTTTTTAATAAGGTATCAACTAGACTTTCCCAAAACCATTTTGAAATGGTTGCCTTTCAGGAAACAAGGAAGTAGTGTGACTGGAAATGGGATCTTGAAATAATAATAAATAAATGAATTAAAAAAGAAAAAAAAAAAAAGTCAATAGTTACACAACATTTAAACAAGGAAACTATTTTTAAATGTGTAAAAAAATAAATAAAAATTTCATGAATGCATTCTGTAAACAACCTGCATTTAAAATATCTGAATGCACTTTAGCAAAGCAATTTAAAATATTAATGCAAACTACTGAAACCTAATTTAGGACTTCAGAAGAGGAAGCTGCATTTAACACAAACTGTTTGTTCCACCTTTAAATCTACATATGTCTTATTTAATATATACATTTATATTGTTAATGCAATCAATTGTCCCTCTGAATACAGTGTACCTTTACCATTTGCATCATTAAACCTTCAGAGAACGCAAGCTTACTTACCACAAAATCTTGAGTAAATGGCTATCGTCAATACAACTTTGCAAAGTAGCATATTTAAATATATATCTTATGACACCTACAAAGTTTATTCCCCACCCCCCACAATAGCTCATTTTTAAACTCAGGATACAGTTCAATATACTATACTGTATGTGTCCTCCAGGTCATATTAAAAAAAATTGAAGTCTATATTATTATAAAATTAGTAATTTGGAGAAGAAATTGAGGTCAGAGAGAAGATTTCTGGATCCTATGATGTAAATAAACATCTCTACTTTCTGTAGTAGGCTACAACAAGAGGTAAAATGTCTTTAAAAAAATCCATATATTACACAGTCTGTTCAAAACTTATAATACACAAGACCGTAAAACCAAACACTACGGATAAAGGCAATGTTGGTTCATGCTAAAAGATAATTATGTCGGAAAAGAGCACTTTGCTTTACAAAGTGTGTCATTTTCATCACTTTGTCCAAAAATAAAAAGTGTTACCTTCCATAGATGAAAGTGTAAATTGCACTGTAACAAATACTTCTTCCCCATCACAGGAACATACGTGGGATGTGATTTTTGTTAAAAATCTGACTCAGTGATCACAAAGACATAACAGTCGGAGAGTCATATGTTTTCGAATAATACCAATAGCCCCATTACTAATATTTTAAAAGAACTGTCAATCTCAAGATATATAGCCAACAGAATCAGCTTCAAGATACGGTTACACAAAATCTTTTCAATGTGTTAGGGTAATTGCCATAAAGTTAAAGATATTTTAACCTACATGTAATAAAATAAAAGAAATACCTACCTGGTCATGTATGTATTCTTAAAAATGGCCACCAGAAATGTAAGTTCATGTCTGCTCACCCATCTGTTCCTTAATGACGAAGGCACACATTTCATTTAGGGACAGCTGCTTGCTTTGATTTCAGAAGGCCATCTTAGCAGTGTTCCAGTGACGTGGAACAGGCAGATACATATACTTAAAGGACAACGGTCACCAGAATATGGATTTTTACTATAAGAATCCTTGTAGCGTGTAATGAAATGACGACGTTTTTAAATCAAGTATATGTAAAAACATATACCCAGCTTATAACGACTGCCTGCTTGTTTGATCTCTTGCTGTTAAATAGCTCTGATCATTTGTGATTGCCATTTTCAGAAATTGCCTGTTCGGTCTTGCTTTCAGTTTTATTTGTTTCAATTATGTGTAAGAGACAGCTTTCCGATTTACACATTCCCAGTAGTTTTAATGTGTTAAATCATGTAAGGATGACAATAATGGAAATATGTCAATTACAGTAAACACTATCTTACACTATTGAACAAGTGAAACTGAAAGTGCCACACAGGACACGCACAACAGCTTTATGGCTGAGGGACTCTATAGCGTTAAGAATACAATTTTGTTTTCCAATGCCATAGTGTTCCTTTAACATAACCACAAAAAAAAAAAAAAGTTTACATACTGCAAGAATTTGTATAATAAAAATACATTTTCTGGTGACTGTCATATACACACACAGCTGTTTGAAAGAGCAGCTCTATAAAGTAAGACTTGTGCTTGTCGTGTATGGCAGATTCCTTTTAAAATATCTCATGACAAAAAAAAAAAAATGTAATAAACAAATGTGCCCTAAATTATGAAGAGATAAGGAGTGCTCCCTTTCAAAGTATGTGAAAAGAAACAAAAACAGCTTTATAAGAAAAGGTGATGTCTAGGATGAAAAAATAAATGATGTTCTAGTTCGGAATTTTCTGTAAGAATTCCAGATATATTCTGATTTACAGGAAAATCTGAAAGGAATATAACATTACATCCCAACATTAACCAATGAAGTAATCTGTGTCCAAGCAATCTGTAAATATCAATATATTTCCCTACAAAGGGATCGTTAAGCCGTGTGTAAGCAAAGATCATTTACTCACCTGTGTGAGGGCAGAACACTCCACATATTTTACTGCCTTCAAGTCTCTAGCAAGTTTCTCTGCTGTTTCTGGAGTGATTGGCTTCTGTTTGTTTTTTGCAAGTTTCTCGATTGTTGAAGGGTCATCTCTTAAGTCAATCTGGGTCCCAACAAGCAAGAAAGGAGTCTTGGGACAGTGGTGAGTAATTTCTGGTACCCACTGCAAGACACGCATGCCAAAATGTTGTCACGAGCATTTAAAACGAATACCATTAAAATATTACCAACATAGGAAATTAGTTATTTCAGTTGACTACTAAGTTCACCTGACAAGCAAATGACCATATATATTTCAGCCCTCAGCCTTTTCCAAATGCCTTGTCATAGCCATTCACGTAATAATTATCAGAATTGCTATTTTTATTTATTAAAACGTTTAACAGGTAACAAGAAAAGTCTCTAGGACTAAAAAGTTTATTTAAAATATTGATCTAAAACAGATCTGAAACCTAACAGACACATTAGAACCAATAACTTTCTACCTGGTATACACAAATGCATTTATTTATACGTTGTTATTTTGCAATATAGTGCAGCAATATAAGTCCTTTTTAATAAAAAGTTGTTCTGTATAATTAATGTCAATTTCTCGGGGGACAGGCATGCTTAATGGAATACTAACATTAGAAATGCAAACATGTATTCTTAATGTTAGAGTGTTTTATTATATAGATAAGAGCATTAAAACTCCCCTTCTATCACCCACCATGCTGATTTTACCATGGTCGCCACTCCACCCCTGGCTGAGATCATAACATTAACTTAGTCAGACCAATGCCTCCCTATGCATTGGAGGATAGAGCGCATGTGTACCAATCCCTGTGCTGGGCCAATCAATCTCCTAATTGAGATGCACTGGCTCAATGCATTTTTGTGGGAGGCGTTTGTGTCTTCATGCAGAGCGTGAAGAAACTGATCATCATTCTGCAAAGATTGCAGGAATGCGTCAAGAAGCACCTTTACTGGCAGTCTGTGACAGTCACTAGAGGTGCCCCTAGAAACAAATGTAAACACCACCTTTTCACTGAAAAGGCAATGTTGGCATTGCTGAGACTGCCAGGAGAGTCTATTTGCATCAAAATCACTACATTTAGCTATAGTGATTCTGTTGCATAGTGTCCCTTTGACACAAATGGTGCATCTGGTGTAACTGCTAAAATTGCGGCTACTGAACTGCAATAACCTATGCTCAACAATCCAACAATAATGTAAGATTATAACAGATGCGTTATTTTATCTGACTATGATCTCCATTAAAAGATGATCATTACACCTTGTAATGCTTCTAAACACATAACGTAAATGCAAAACAAAGAACAATTGTTCTTCAATAGCCTTGCAAGGGCGTATAAAGGTTAGGGTGCAAGGACAGGAGGAGATGAGGTAAAATGCAGAGATCGGAGATCGGAGATAATACGGGAAATGAGAAATGAGAATGAAAAGTAAAGTTAAGTAAAATGGGTAAGAAACATGTAAGAAAAAATGGAGTAAGAATTAATAAGGGTGGAGTGTAATAAGACTGGTGTGATGTGATAAAAATATTTTTCAGGTGTAGGCAACATTCAGCACTCACAGATGTTATATACTACATCCTTAATGCTCTTACAGATCTCAACATGCACTGGAAGTTCTTATCCAAAAATTATACCTTTTCTTTCACATTTTCAAATGAAGATGGAGAGACCACGGAGAAACAGACAAGAAACACATCTGTCTGTGGATAGCTAAGAGGTCGTAATCTATCATAATCTTCCTGCCCTGTGGACAAAAATATGAATAGAAATATATAGTTAAGTAGACATGGAAATAAAATGGGTCAGATCGAGTTAGAACAAACAACTAAAAAGTGATCTGTACTCTGCAAATCTGAAAGCATATCTGATACAAATCCTGTGATATACCTTGCATTATCTCACACATCAAAAAATAAGACACTCCTCCTCCCCCGCCCCCCCCTTTCTTAAAGCGGCACTGTCAACGTCGGGGGACTTTGCTTGTTGTCAGGTGGCTGCGGGGGGCAGGTAAGGGTGAAATGACTTACTTGCCTGCCCCACGCAGGTACCATCATCTTTATTGCACTGCTCCTCTTCAAGCGGCATTTAAAGGCATGAGTAGGAGGGGATAATTGTTTTAAGTTTAGTACAGGATTAATTGGCCAGCATAAGGAAGCACATCCCCATGGGTACTGTGCCATCATATGCCAAGAATAAATGTCTTTAAGAGACATGCATCACTTTGAGACAACGGTAATGACACAAGTGTGCAGAAACTTTAAAAAAATGTTGAGACCTTAAATTTATCAAAGAGCAAGCAACTGAGCTCCTCCAAGCTTTTGTCTGTTCTCAGAGTTCTCACATTCCCGCTCTTTGTTGTAATGCATTAACTGTGCTCTCATCAAGTTCGAAAGGGTAATCCAGACGTGGACCCTGTGCCTAGAGGGGTTTCGACTACACCTTGATGACTAAGCCCAAAAAAGGCCAAAACGATCGTCCGGGATTGCTGTATCTCTTGTGCAGGGATCTTGCCGGCATTTCAGTTCTGGACTGCTCTTATGGGCGGATCAGTCTGATATGCCTTGGAAATGGTCCTTTCTGTAATGGCACAAGTGAGCAAAAACTATTTTGGGAACAGAGTGTTGATTTACCAAAGGACAACCTACAGAGTTCATCTAAACTTTTGTCTGTTCTCGCATTTCTGGTTTCTGTCTCATTCAATTGGCTCACTCTGAAGACTTAAAAAAGGAGGTAAATATGATGTTCTGTTTCCATGTTTAACTGCTTCATGTTTCTTATGCTTTCCACACTCACTCCAGGGAGTACACTGATCTAACCAGTGTCCTACCCATAGGAATGCTGGGAAAGTGCATTAGCTTGCCTGACAAGTTTTCACTTGTGCAGTTGGAAGATTTCTTCACCTTGTAACATCCTGACAGAGTGAGAAGAGAGGGTAGTTGTGACCACCACTGGGAGCAGAATTACACTTGACAAATGTTCCTAAATCCTAAGTCACCCTGTATTTATTATAGGTGCAGGGTGTTTACAATGTGTTTGTATATTGTTAATTGTTTTGTGTGCTCTCCTGTCCTGCTGATGCTTGTTACCAACTAGTGGATTTGGCTATGGAGCCTGTAAAGTGCCCTCTGTTGGTAGCAACAGCAATATGCACTACCTGAATATCAAAGATGGTTAATTTGCATATTCAAGTAGATTTGCATATTGCTAATTCTACAGGTAGGAGTGATATTTTGTGTTGGTTATTGACTTTCCCACCCCTTTGTAGATGTGTTATTATAATCCCCTGTATGCTTTCTGATATGTTTTGACTATTAGTATTTTTATTGAATTGTCACCATAAGTTACATGTAATGAGCATTTGGGCCAGTCCCAAGAAAAAAAGTTTTGTATGTTAGTTCCATTTGGAACAGTGTCCTGTGTGGATTTTTAGGGACCCCAGCCACAGAGGAGTTGTACTGGTTAGCTGGCTGCACGATCCCTCTAGCCCTGGGATAAATCAAGATAGCTAGGTGTGAGGTGGATACCTACCTGAAAGAAAGACTGCGACAGAATAGGCAGAGGGGATGATACCTGCCTGGAATAAGGCTGCAGCGGAATAAGCAGAGTGGATGATACCTGCCTGGAAGGAGAGCTGTAGCCTGTTCGGGTGGAAAATCTACGGAAAGACCCCAGTCAAGCCACGGAGACTGGGACAAAAGAGCTGCCGTTTTCCCCCGGTTCCAGCTAGGAAGCGATTCTGGGTGAAGGTACCCAGACTGGGTACAGGGAGCTCCGCTAAAGGAGTAAGGCGCGAAGAAACTTCCCTAGCTGAGAGGAGTTCCCAATAATGCAATTTGACAAAGTTTACGAACATTACATAGTTTTCAACGTTTTTCTTGCTTTATTTCGATTTGTGTGTTTATTTAAAAGTGTTGGCTTGCGGTTTTAAAACCAATTGTCAAGTTATGCAGGTCCCCTTAAACCCAACATTAAAATAAATAATTGTTGACGAAAATTTAAAATGAAAATCCAAAACTAGCATGAGGTCAAAAGGGATTCAAGTGTTGAGTTTTATTTATCATGAGCATCCAAAACTCTGACGTGAACTGGTTGATATACACATACCTGCAGTATCAAATAATCCTAAGGTATATGGTTCTCCACCGATCATAACTGTTACGGCATAGTTATCGAATACCTGTAAGAGAGATTACAGTTAAAAGCTTACAAATAATATAAATAAGACTAGGACAGAGTAGAGTGCTGCCCTTTAGGAGAAAGCAAAAGACAGGTAATGTAAGGTAGAGGTTACTCTGGGAGGCCATAAGCTTTCTTAAAGAGAGAGGTTTAAAGGCACTTCTCAAAACGATTGAAGACTAGGGGAGAATCGAATGGCGGTAGGCAGGCTATTCCATAGGCAGGGAGCCGCCTGCGAGAAGTCCTGTAAGCATGAGTTGGCCGTACAGGTGCGAGTTGTGGACAAGAGGTGGGCAGAGCGGAGAGACAAAGAAGGGGCCTAACTATAGATCTGTGAAGCGATATAAGAGGGGCAAGAATTGTTCAGTGCTTTATAGGTATAGGGTTAGCATTTTGAATTGACTCCTATAGGAAACAGGAAGCCAATGTAAGGACTGACAGAGGGTTGAGGTGTGAGTGAACTGACTAGAGAGGAAAATAAGTCTGGCGGCAACATTTATTACAATTTAGGAGAGGGTTACAATAATCCATGTGGGAAATTACTAGAGCATGGACAAGCTCCTTGGTAGTATCTTGCTTAAGAAATGGGCAGATGCGGGCTATGTTTTTAAGATGGAATCTACAGGATTTGGCAACATACTGGATGTGAGGCTTAAAGGTGAGGCCAGAATCAAGTATGACGCCAAGACAGCACGCTTGCAAAGATGGACTTATGTGGATACCAGTAATTTGAAGGGAGAGCGAAAGAGGAGGATCAGTATTAGGAGGAAGAAAGACAAGGAGCTCAGTTTTAGAGAGATTGAGTTTCAGAAAGCAGGGAGGACATCCAGTCAGTCAGAGATGGCAGACAGGCAAGCAGTGACACGTTGCAGGACAGCAGTGAAGAGGTCCGGGGAGGAGAGATCTATCTGGGTGTCAGCATACATATTGTGAAGATGATATTGGACTTCCCTAACATCCTGAAAAAGCCAACTTTAATATTTACTCTGAAGACTAGAAACTTACTGTCTCAGTAAAAAAGTGAGCTATCACAGACAAGCATTTAAATGAAGTTTTAGAAGGTGAGAGTTTGCAGACATACTGACAAGGACACTACTCTATTACAGCTGCCCTAATATTATGCATGGCTTACTCGCAATGGGCCTTAACTGCGACTTTAAGAGGGACATTCAACATGTTAAAATTAAAGGTTCAATTGGAGGTTGGCACTTTATGTTCACAGATCACAATTTTCCTTGAGATGCTTAGGAATGCAATGTCTTTCAATGAGCATGTAGCACACCAGCACAATAAGCATGCTAATTATTAAACACACATTTAAAGAGGAATGACCCCTTAAGAATCACACATAGTACAATGCAAGATTTAATTAAGAGATACATTGCCATGGGCAGGGTAATCCATGCACAAATAAAAAGTTTGGAAGGGGAGGATTCAGAACCCCTATTAGAACTAGAGGGAAGAGGATGGGGTGGTATGGTCACCCACTTCCTTCCACAACCAAACTTTCAGGAGTAAGCAAATTAAACAAACTGATGTCTACAGAACCACTTACCAACTGGTTCTGTAGACCTCAGTTTGTTTAAATTGCTTACTCCTGAAAGTTTGGTTGTGGAAGGAAGTGGGTGACCAGACCACACCACCCCATTCTCTTCCCTCTAGTTCTAATAGGGGTTCTGAATCCTCCCCTTCCAAACTTTATTTGCGCATGGATTACCCTGCCCATGGCAATGTATCTCTTAATTAAATCTTGCATTGTACTATGTGTGATTCTTCTCTACATTTTGCCTCAACAGGCTTCTTGCTCAGAGCCCTTATTCTAAATTCTCCAGTAACAGTGATTGCAAAATCCATTGTTTTCCCAAAATTACTGTAACAGCTTTGTTCAAGTGGACCATTAGTACTGCCTTCTTGAACCATTTGCGACTTTCTTATATCCTTAGTAAGTTGAGACAGCATACCCACTGAAATGAAACCGAGTGTCATTGTAATCAGTGAAGCAACATGCCTTGGACACTTGAAATTACCTTTTGAAATGAACCCACAATACTTTGACACAGTAACCCACATGCAGACTTTGACACTTACCGTTGGTACGTATTCCGAAGGAAATTTATTTGTCGTGTAGGATATTAAGAGACACGTTTTACCTACAGCACCATCACCAACGACCACACACTTAATTGTCTGCATGGCTGCTATTTTTGTTGTTAATGTCAGCAACGCTTGTCTAATGCAGACCTGGACAAAAAACAAAACAAAACTTTATTTAGGATTGTTTTAATCAAATTACAGATTCACATGTATATTGGCTGGTTTAAAGGACCACTCTAGGCACCCAGACCACGTCAGCTTAATGAAGTGGTCTGGGTGCCAGGTCCTTCTAGGGTTAACCCATTTTTTCACAAACATAGCAGTTTCAGAGAAACTGCTATGTTTGTGAATGGGTTAAGCCTTCCCCTATTTCCTCTAGTGGCTGTCTCATTGACAGCCACTAGAGCTTGCGTGCTTCTCACTGTGATTTTCACAGTGAGAGCACGCCAGCATCCATAGGAAAGCATTATAATGCTTTCCTATGTGACCGGCTGAATGCGCGCGCAGCTCTTGCCGCGCGTGCGCATTATTCAGCCGACGGGGAGGAGAGAAGGAGGATCGGAGGAGGAGAGCTCCCCGCCCAGCGCTGGAAAAAGGTAAGTTTTAACCTCTTTCCCCCTTCCAGAGCCGGGCGGGAGGGGGCACCCTCAGGGCACTATAGTGCCAGGAAAGCATTATAGTGGTCCTTTAAGCAGTGGTAATGTCGGTTTAGATAGTCATAGATTGTAAGGTCGTTTGAACAGGGCTTTCTTGAAACCTAAATAGCCATTTTCAATAACTGTAAATACTCTAAAATGTAAATTGACGCAATATAAATGTGAATCATAACAAATGAGTACCAAAACATTCCAAGCAACACACAAAGAAACTGATATACAATATAGCCAGCTAGAAACGGACATTCATAGCTTTGTTTTGTACTATTTTCTGGTTTTACTTTAAATGTAAATTAATGGAGGAATTAAAAAAAAATAATAAAACAGCTCCTCATACTTCTGATGTGAAAACATGGCCCCTATAGCAATCAAGACATCTCACACCTTTCTACTTGTATAATTATTTCAAAAAATGTTTATTCAAGATTACAGCCAGTAAGCAGCACATACTTTTTTGAATAAGATTATTAAGAGATTATTGTGTTTTCAGTAAGTGAAAAGGGTCCCCACCTTTTTGCCTTTCGGAACTTTCAGAGAAAAAAAGCAATATCAAAGAAAAATGTATGACATTCAAGGTGAACATTTTTGCTCCAATTAGTTTAGCATAATCTGACAACAAATATTTGGCCAAAGCAAACAGTAAAAAAGCAGATAGGAGTAAAAGGCCACGCTATAATGTTGGACTTGAGCAGGTAAATTAAGATGTTTTATGCTTACAAATGTCGATTTATGTAAAAACCATAAAGATTTCATTTAATCAAATATGTAATTTACAAAAAATAGTGAACACACACTTTTTTGGTAAATTTACCAAAAGTTGGAAACGTATTACCAAAGTATGTGTGCCTAAATCTTTATTAGCTTAACTTCAGGCTTTCCAGGGAAATTATAGGCACCCAGGCCACTTCATCTCAATGAAGTGGTCTGGATGACATGTCCCTCTAGTTTTTAACTTTGGAACTGCAAACATTGCCATCCTACAGGAACGGAAATATTCATAGTGTAGTGTTTCAATGCTTCTAGTCTATCATGCTGACAGCAACGAGAGGCTCTTCTGCATAAACAGCCAAGTAAAACCCTGCTATTTTAAATCAGATGGTTTCAGAGACACTAGCCTCTCAATGATTTCCAATTGGAAAGCATTGTATTTGCTGAGATCATGGATCGCTATGAACACAGCCTGGAAAGCCTGGCAGTTGTACTCTGACTCGGGGAATAAAGGGGTGGTGCAGACTACACGCTCCTCCAATGGACCACATGGAACAATACAGCCCTCTCCCACCTACTAAGTAACAAGGGGTTGACAACAAAAAAAAATGGAGATCCACACACTGCAGATGCCCAGCATGCACCACATGCATACACTACAACCACTATACATAACCAACACACACACACTTCAACCTCTACACACAGCCAAACAAACTAACTATGGGGATGGAAAAGTTATTCAGAAAATTCATTTTTGTTCTCAAATGAAATCCAAATAAAGGGGGGGAAAAATAGAGGTAAAAAGGTAAATTGGATATTGTTTCCGGATCTGCTTTATTTAGGGATTGTGTGTACCGTATTGCCCTGCCAAAGTCCATGGCTTTAGGAAGGGGCCGCAATCTTATGTTGTGTCAGTAGAAGTAAATTTTTGTCACCGACGCGTAGATTGGGTTGCCGATTTATCCCTTTACTAGCGAAAACAATATTAGCAGACTGCTGAATTTACATCAAATGTGAGAATTTTATGGAATGCTCATTGCATGGCAGTCCATTCAGCTCACCTCTCATTTGACAGTTGCTAGGCAGAACAGAAATGCTATAACTATGTATATACACACGGCAACAGGACAGAAACAAAGCCTTGATGGGTTTTGCATTTGTTAGCATTTCACAGCATATAATGAACATAGCAACAAAGGAACACACACAAAAAAAAAAAAAAACCTACTCGAGTGGTCAGTGGTTTGCACCCAAGAATCACAAAACTTCAGAAGAATTATGTAAAGATAATGCCAACTTTGCAACAGCCATGGCTCCTAAAACAGACTACTACTGCTTGCACTCCAGATTTTAAGCTCATTTGAGCAGGGTCCTCAATCTACTTTTCCTGCAACATTTTGTAATGGTCTCATTTACTGTCAAATTTCCTCTGGATATTTGCAAAGTGCTGCAGAATACGTTGGCACTATATAAATGCCAATAATAATAATAATAAACAATTTAACCACTTATGGGCCACAAGACAGTCTATGCCGTCATGCAGTGCAGGGCTTTAATGACCAGTGATGGCATAGACCGTAAAGCAGTAAAATACAAACTGGGGTTAAATCCCTACTGATACCAAGGAACCCCAGGTATCCCTGGGGAAAGAATTAGTGACCAAAGAAAAACCTATGCTCTGTCTCCAGAGCTCAAAGTGAACACAGCAATCAGGAAATTAAATTGTGACTTTAATCCCATTGTTGTACCTGGTACTCCCCCCTGTCAGCTGGATGCATTTTTAGTGACCACAGACTGATAAGTAACCTGCATGCGGAAATTAGATTGATAAAGAGCTGCATGCAGCTCTTTCAAATGGAATTTAAATCCCCATAGACAGCAATGCAGTATGAGCAAGGTTAGATTCCTGCTCACTCCAGGAAGCCCAGGTATCAGATACCTGGGGCTATTTTAGTGGCCGTAGACTTTTTGATGAGCTGCATGCAGTGCTGAAAGTCAGAACTGCATATAGCCCTTGCAATCCACAGAAAACACTGCACAGAGATTCCGTTACTGGATCTAGTGATTGAGAGACCCCTCAGAGCCCCAAGGCATTTTAATCAGTGCTGGGCTTTAAGGGACAACAACAATAAATCCACAGCTAGATTTTAATTAGCTATTGGGTATGCAGAAATTCTATTGCTCTATCACTTAAAAATAATTTTGTATGTACCATAACCGGTAAACATTAATTGAGAGATGAGGCTGCGGTACTTTATCCAAAGATAAAAAAAAAGGAAAAGAAGAGGATAGTTTACACTGTTGAATTTTCCAGGCTTTGTACCAGTACTAGTTAGCATCACCATTTCATTTCAAGTCATACTAGAAGGAGTGTGTCAAAGTCATTTTCCAGAGCAAAGAACAATATCAATTTCTTCTACAAATAAAGCAATTGACTCTAGTGATTAAACATCACATTCTCTCTCTGGTAATAAGAAACCTCCTCAGTTACAGCTTTTAAGAATCGTACAGTTGAACTAGATGTATTTGATTAACATAATTAGACGTCTGAATGTCAAGATGAAACAATTCCTTCTGGGGGTTTTTTATGATGCTCTATGAGCAATATTCTTGCACCTTTGGTGACTGGAACATGCCTTATAATAAAATGATCTGATTAAAATGGTCAAGAAAGAGATGGTTAAATCACAGCAAGTAATGTAAAATCTAGTGCAGTTCTTAATGCTAAACACTTCCTCCTGAAGAAAGAAAAAAAGAAATAAGTACAGAAAAACCATGTGGTTATGATTACAGGGCCCAGAATAGCAAGATTTAACAAAAGTGCAAACGAAGGAAACTGCTTAGGGTGTGTTTGGTTGTCTAAAGTGGGACTAGTCTCCATTCCCGCCCCTAAGAAGAAACTGCTCCTCCAAAAAGAAAGAAACAAACAAAAAATATATATCTCTTTCATGTAGCTATTCAAGTTCTGTTACAAGTGTCCGAATATAAAAACAGACACAAGTTACACAATTACCATTTCAAGTTTTTTTTTGCTTAACTAAGGGTAGAAAAAAAAAGCTAACTTCTTAATAGCTGTAACATAACTGTTCTATTTGCCAAGTGTGGTGATCAAATAATGTAAATCAATAGAGAATGCTGCACAGATTGCAGGAGAAACAGGAAATGAATAAAATCCCTCACACAGGGACTTTCACACTTATTGCATATTTATCTCAGCAATAGACTTAAAGGGACACGATTGTCACCAGAATAGTTACAGTTTATTGTATTTGTTCTGGTCGGTATAATCAGTCCCTTCAGTATTTTTAATGTAAACACTGTCTTTTCAGAGAAAATGCAGTGTTTACATTACAGCCTAGGGATACCTTCACTGGCCACTCCTCAGATGGCTACTAGAGGTACTTCCTGGGGCAGTGCTGCTGACGTTCAGCAGCTGAACTTTCCCCACAAATACATTGATTCAATGCACCTCTATGAGGAGAAGATGATTGTCACGGGGGTGGGACCAAAAAGCCCTAGCCAATCTCAGCCAAACTAATGCTTTCCCTGTGAATGATGTCAGCCAAAGAGGTGGATTGGGGTGGAGTCAGCACCTGCAGACCTATGGAGAGTTGCAAATAAGACATGTTCTAACACTGCCTAAAGGGGAGTGGTGGTTGGGGGGGGGGGTTGAATGTTGGTTTTAATACTATAGGGTCAGAAGTATGTTTGTGTTCCTGACCCTATAGTGCTCCTTTAAGTCCAACTGACCACTAATTGATCTTTATCAATGCTATCAACCATGTCAGCATGTTACAGTAGCAGTGAGAAGCACAGATCACAGTCACTTAAGATTTTTAGTAGCGGTTATGGTGCAAGAAACCCATGTCCGGCTCATACCTGTTCTCTTAACATATTTTAAAATATTCAGCACTTTAAAACTATCCCCTGACTTAGCTTCCTCTTTAAGTTATACTTATGAGACATCACTTACAGTGTATGTACAGGCTTGCCCTGCAAATGTTTTATAGGCGTTTCACATACAACCTTAACCTAACTTTAGCACTGCATTGTTTGTGGACAAGTCAGTTTATCACTGGCGAAGGGAAATATGGGTAAACTGAACTGAATGCAAGTATATGAGAAAAAAAAAAAAAAGCATTTTTACATTTAGGAACGAATAAATGTGACATCCACAGACTTCAATACAAAAAATACAAATTCAGCTCTGGCTACAAGTGCAGGAATTTAGTAAAATGAACAGCAGGGGACACTGAATGCAATATGGACATTTGGTAGTTAATAATATTGGCATTTATAAATTTAGCATTCCACTGTATCATAATTAATTGGCACACTTACATAAATTATAATCATGCAGATTTCTTTCTAACAAACATCCTTAATTTGAATACTAATTAGATATTTAATGCTGCTTGGCAAACTAAAGCAGTTTGAGGTGGAATAGAGGCCTTGAAAAAACAAGCAAATACAGAATTATGTATTAAAAAAAAAAAATAATAAAACAAAAATTAATCAGTATATTGACAAAAATATATTTATATAATATATTTAATACGGACAATAAAAAAGAAAAGTGGGGGGGCGTGGCCTGACTACCAATGGAGTAAGACGCACCTAACTCGAGCTCCTAGGCCCCAACCTGCTAAGCCCAAATACACAAGCCATATTTTTCTACAAAACTGCACAAATGGGGAAAAACAAGCGACTAACTGCCGCAGGACCACCCGGAGCGACCCCGGCGCGGCAGACGCCGGGCCCGATGGACGAATTCCTGTCAGTGCCGCCCGACCTCCGGGGCTCCGGGGACCCGAGCATGCAGACTCCCTCCTCCCCAGGCTCGAGTGTGATGGGATCGGCACAGGACTCGCCCGCAGTAGGCACCCTATCACAGATATCGGCCGACCTGGCTGCGATCTCCGCAAGCATGCTGACTCGCAGAGACAAAACTGAAATGGTGGCTGAGCTGCGCGCAATCATAAGGGAAGAAGTGGCAGCAGTCCGCAACGACCTCGCTGCATTGGAACAGAGGGTGGATACCCTGGAAGAAACGCAATTGCAGGCCGCACAGCATCAGCAGGCCGCGGACCTGGCCACCACGAGGCAGGGCAACATTCTCCTGGACCTACGCCGGCAAATTGAGGAGCTGGACAATAGAGGCCGCCGGAACAACATCAGAATCCGGGGCCTGCCAGAGGCGGAGGGGGAAAACCTGCAGGAGATCCTCACGGGCCTATTTACGCACCTCCTGGGGGACCTGGCCCCACAAGAATTCGGCATAGAAAGGGCACATCGAGCCCTGAGGGCCCCCAGGAGAGACGGTCAACCCAGAGACATAGTCTGCTCCCTGGTGTCATTCCAACTGAAGGAGGCCCTTATGAGATCCGCCAGGGCACGGCCACATGTCACCTACATGGATGCCGAGATCTCCCTCTTCCAGGACCTATCCATTATCACGCTGGACGCCCGACGGGCCCTGAGGCCAGTAACGCGCCTCCTGCAAGAAAGGAGAATAATCTACAAATGGGGGTTCCCTTTTAGCCTCCAGGCCAAAATCGGGAACATTTGGCATGTTATTCGTTGGCCCAACGACGTTCCCCGCTTCCTCCGGACGGCCGGCTTACCTGAAGTACCGGTCCCAAACTGGATCCTAGATAACCCTCCGGCCCGATCAACTGGACCGTCAGACGCAGCGCACAACCTCCGCCCGCGCCCAGGGACTCCACGGCGACGAGGAGGCCCCGAGGGCCCCGAAGAATAGTACCAGCTAAGGAGCCACCCCCGCACAAGATGCCCGCCCTGGTACCCCAGCTGCACCAGCGCACACATGTAAGCCGGCAGCACTCACCTCGCCCTCTAAAGGTCTCCAGCCGTAACCAGGCGGGTATGTACTGACTCGGGAGCCCGGTTAATTTAGTCTCTCACCCCTCAGCCTAAGGGAAAAGCCACCAGGGGATCCCCACAGGTTGGGAGGGACGGAGCCTGCACGGAGAAGCGCAGTGGGGAGGGGGAGACCAACCGATAGAGGGGTCCACTGGCTTTTTACCCGGGGTCCCCTTGAGGTGGGGTGGGGCACGAGACACAGGGCACGCATGCAGGGGTCTGGGATCAGGCCCGCCGGGAGGGCCGGGATGCAAAGAGGGCCGCAGCTGAATACGAACTTGAACACTGCCCCAATTTCACGGGTATCTTACAGGCATGAGGGGCTTTGCGGGAGGGAAGGGGCGGGGGCAGGTCGGGGTGTAAGTGGCGACCCAAGCTGAACGATCAACAGAGGGAGGCAGGCGAAGAGGAAAGGCGTGGGCCGCCGCAGAGGCCTAACAGTTCAAAGTTAATGACAGCATGTTTAGTTTACACGTGGTTTCATAGACACATAGCATAGCAAGCTACTAGCAAACACACAATTGCTACACACACTAGGTAAGGCAGCAAAGGCGGATCCAGGGGGCGACGGGAGAAGGGGGCGGGGAGACAGAGACCTGGGGTATGGAGCTAGGGCACCCTGAGGTCACCCATCCCACCCTAGGGTAAGGACACCCAGTTCGACACCCCAGAAGCAGGCCTTGTCTGGGAGGGTACTCCGGTGGAGCACACAGGGTAGTGTACAGGAAGGCCAGGGGAACTAGGGGGCGGAGGCGAACACTTCAGCCAACTCGAGGAGCGGGAACACACTGGGAGGGGCCGAGGAGGGGGGAGGGGCGGGTCCAGCCGGACACACAACAAGTACCAACTCCTGTTCACACCCCTATATGGACTGGGTCAGCACATAGGTACAATAGGGCGGACGTCAAGATACCCCCACAACTAAGACCTGCTACTTAACACAATGCATATAGCACCCGCAGGTTGGGAGTCATAAGGGGAGTTCGTAGACTGGACACAAGTACAACCGATAACTTACCTCCCTCGGTGGCTACACTGAACCTCACTGTGACAGACCCTTCTGTATATAATACCGGGGTCGCGGGATACAGGCATATTTCTGACCCTGTGACGACCGTAACCGGTACCGGGACAAAGTCACACCACACTCTCCCCTGAACCCAACCCTCAGACAACCGGACGGACACACACCGGACATACCACTGACAACATATTTCTCTCTCTCTCTCTCTCTCTCTCCTTCCCCTCCATGCCCTCCCCGGGGCGGGGCAGCCCCCTCGCTGCGGCCGCAACTACAAAGTGTTTCGCGCCGGCCCCACTAACGCTCTGGTCGAATAATGTCCAGGGTCTCAATGTGCCGGAGAAACGCACACGCCTACTCAGCAAGCTCTGGACAGCGAGGGCGTCGGTGGCGTTCGTACAGGAGACGCACTTCAGAGGCAACGAGGCTCCCAAATTAGAGAACCGTCGCTTCCCGTTAGGGTTCTACGCGAACCACCCGGACGCGAAAAAGGCAGGGGTGGCGATATTGTTTGCACATACAGTACCGTTCCAGCTCAAGGCGGCAATGACAGACCCCAATGGGCGCTACCTTTTCATCAAAGGCTCTATAGCCGACTACACGTATACCTTCGTTACCATATATAGCCCCAACAGACGGCAGCACACCTTCATCAGCAGGACACTAGCTAAACTGGAAAGCTTCAGGGAAGGTATGCTGGTGATGGCGGGAGATTTGAACGTACCGCTAGACCCCCGTCTGGACACCTCCAGAGGTGTGAGCGCGGTACCAGCGCACTGCGTATGCAAAATAATGCGGGTACTGAACAGGCAGGGGCTGGTGGACAGCTGGAGGGTGAGCCACCCAGACGACCGTGACTACACCCACTATTCAGCGGTCCACTCACACTACAGCCGCATTGATTATGTATTTCTAGCGCAAGAATATCTGAACCTACTGCACAAAGCCGACATCGAACTACTGGACTATTCCGACCATGCGCCCGTGGTGGCGCACATCAGTTCTCCACTGTTTAAACCTCGAGAAAGACAATGGAAACTCAACGAATCCCTGCTGGATGACCCCGCACTTAAGGCTATGGTTATCGACGCCCTGACCCAATATTTCGCTGACAACGAGAATTCGGAGACCTCCCCACTGGTACTCTGGGAAGCGCATAAATGCGTCATCAGGGGCCGTCTCATCGCAGAGAGCACTAGACGCAAAAAAGACCGATCCGCACGCCTCATCACGCTAACGAAGCGCATAGCCGAACTAGAATACGAACATAAACACACGCTGGAAGAAGGCACATACCTACACCTCACGATCGCTCGCAGAGAACTTAGAGACATACTATCACAGGGACAACTACACACAGCTAGAAAATCAGCCAGATTCTTCTACGAACATTCCAATAAGAGCGGCAGGTTGCTGGCGAAAATGCTACAAGACAAGAGGAGGGCACAACACATCCATAAAATACACACGCGAGAGGGAGAAGTCACGCGCTTACCAGAAGGCATCCTCGAAGCCTTCCAAGAGTACTATGCGACACTCTACGCGCAAGCTCGAGCCCGGGAGGGCCCCGCAGAACAGCGTCATAAGGACCGAGTCCGGACATACCTAGAAAATCATGTGGCCAGAAAACTTACCCCGGAACAGGCTGCGGAGCTGGACCAACCTCTGACGATTGAAGAACTGGCCGGCGCCATGAAAGCCTCAAAGCCGCACCGGGCACCAGGCCCAGACGGACTACCGCTATCATACCATCGCACCTTCAGAGACATCCTATTGCCGAGACTTCTCACGGGCCTCAACTCAATTCAAACGGATGGCCACTTCCCTACGGACACCTTGAGAGCCACAATCACGGTCCTCCCAAAAGAGGGTAAAGACCCCACGAACTGCGCCAGCTTCCGCCCAATTTCCTTACTAAATGCGGATCTGAAGATATTCGCAAAAGCAATGGCACTACGGATCTCACATCTCCTGCCCGACTTGATACACCTCGACCAAGTCGGCTTCATACCCGGGAGGGAGGCCAGGGACAACACCATCAGAGCCCTCAATGTCATACACGCGGCCAAGATTGGAAAACGGGAGGTAGTGCTCCTGTCGACGGATGCCGAAAAGGCGTTTGACAGAGTGGACTGGACGTTCCTCGCTGAGACGCTACGCCACATGGGCTTTGGCACCCACATACGATCATGGGTGGCCGCATTATACACGGTCCCAACGGCGCGCATTCGGGTCAATGGAGCACTGACAAAACCATTTAGCATCCACAATGGTACCCGCCAGGGATGCCCTCTGTCACCCCTTCTGTTTGCCCTCACTCTCGAACCGTTTCTGGAGGCGGTCAGACAGGACGGGGGCATAACGGGGACTCGCCTGGGCGGAACGGAACACCGGGTCGCGGCATACGCGGACGACATGCTCTTCTTCCTGGAACAACCTAGAATCTCGACTCCGAATTTGCTCGAGGCGTTCAAACAATACAGCAAAGTCTCAAATCTAAAACTTAACCTAGAAAAATCAGAGGCAATGCCGGTGGCACAAAACCTGACCCTGACAAGGCACTTTGAAACACACTTCGCATTCAAAATCTGCACAACAAAGCTCCGATACCTCGGTGTCTGGCTGCCGAAAGAGCTCGCGCAGATCTACCAACTGAATTTCACTCCTCTCCTTGCATCGTTACAACAAGACTTAAAACGATGGACGTCCAAGTACATATCGTGGTTCGGCCGCATAAGCGCTATAAAAATGAACATCATGCCGCGCGTTCTATACTTATTTCAGACACTGCCTACCACTGTTCCTAGAGTCTTCTTCCAGAGGCTAACGACCGACATTAGACAGTTTGTCTGGAACAAAAAGCCCACAAGGGTTCGGAGAACGATTCTGGAGCGACCAAAGTGTGACGGAGGCATGGGACTCCCGTCCGTACTCATGTACTACCAGGCAACTCACCTACATAGACTGGTGGACTGGCATGCCAACCCCAACGCTAAACAATGGGTGGACATGGAGCTCCAACAAGCACAGGGGAAGATCCCCGCCGTGCTATGGTTGGGAGAGGCTACGCTTAGAGAAATACGCACAGGCAACCCAATGATAGACGCCACCCTTGGGGTCTGGTGCGGAATAAGATACACCAAGCAGCTTACCACATCTCCCAACCCGCTCACACCCATAACCAACAACCCCCAGTTAGCCGATGGACTAACTCCTACTGCCCTTAAAAATTTTCAAGCGACGGATTGGGTCTATCTACACCAATGGTGCAGCGGCCGGAGCCTGAGACCCTTGACAGAACTGGTACGAGACTGTAGACCTACCAGACTAGACGAGTTTCATTACCACCAGCTCAAAGCATACTACAACACTATCAAGGGGAAGGATCACGTACACCGCCCCCTCTTGTATCTGGAACAACTATGCACGGCCCGGCAACACATCACACATGGCGTGTCAACTCTGTATACCGCCCTAATGAACAGCGGAGAAAAGGACGCCTTGGGCTTCACGAGGCGGTGGGAAATAGAGACGGGGACAGAGCTCACGGACGTGGAATGGAACAAAATCTTCCTACTGTCGCATAAGGGAAACATAAGCTCAAAGTACCAGGAGTGCAACTATAAAATTCTAACGCATTGGTACAGGACCCCGGATATCCTAGGACATATTCATGACACGATCCCTGACGACTGCTGGAGATGCGGAACAGAAAGGGGCACAGCATACCACATCTGGTGGACATGTCCCCTTATAGCCCCCTACTGGCGAACGATAAACCGCACAATAGTAGATATCACAGGCACTGAACTTCCGCTACAGCCCCTGCCGATGTTGCTCAACCATACGCACACACCACTGACAGCCTACAAAAGAGGGCTCACTATACACCTGCTTACGGCGGCTAAGACGCTTATCCCCACACACTGGAAAACCACGCTGACCCCCTCGCTAGAACAGTGGATCGCTAGGGTGGAAGACATCTACAACATGGAACGGATGACGGCTTCACTGCAGGGACGGGCGGAAAAATGTGCGCTGACATGGTACCCATGGATGGACTATGTGACCAAGAGAGCGGGGGTGGCGAGACCGCGTGGGGGGGGGGCGGCGCTCGCCTCGGGGGGGCTGGGGGGGACCTAGTATAGACTGACCACACGACCATCCTAAAGAACTACCCCCGACAGGGAAGGCAACACCTGAACCACTCCCTAGAACTCGGACTGACAGGTCCACTGACACACCCTAACCCAAGAAAGCCGAACTCCCGCTTAGGACCACGGACGGCCCAGACACAGAACTACGGGAGTAAATTCAGAGATACGTCGACTCCCCTAACTCAGTAACACGGAGTAGCACACAAATGGGAGACTGCCCCAGCCCCACACGCCACCTGACACCAAAGGCGCGGCGAAAGCCGCCATCCAACACGGAGGAAGGGAGCTGGGGACAGCACAAACCCAGACACTCGCACCACAAGGCACTACGACACGGAGGATACTAAACCTTGGGGAGACAAGACGAAGAGTAGATCCATCAAAGGAAGCCTCACAATGATTAACACATACACAATAGCCACGATATTCCACAGGACAACAATGGATAAAGGGGACATACGCCTAGAGGGGACCTAGCTGCAGTATTAGAGGGCCCCCAAACCGGGGCAACCACTTCACGGTTACTCACAAGGCACCAACGCACCCTACACCTGCTGGGTTGAACCCGAGGGACAGAGTGCGATAGAGACCGACAGCATACCAAGCTCAGCCACTGACCAACACATCACCCACTATACGGCCCGGACGACCATGACCGTAGACAGAGAGGATGGGGGGAAGGGGAGGGGAGCTCTGCACAGCCAGAGACGGTACCCCAGAAACAACTCACTTCAGGGGCTCTCACTCCAAGCGAGAATACACCGTAGAAAGACGATTTCATAACACTAACTCACTAACTAAAGACAACATATCTCACATACCACACCGCCTCATGAATGAGGCGGGCCGCTATTGAAATAACCCATGAGAACAAGCCTTAACACGACATGCTGTATAATGTACAAGAACGGAATTGTGAAGCACTATTTTCTTCCACATTGCTGTACAATACTTATGCTTGTAACACTTCGATAAATCCTAATAAAATTTGATTGACAAAAAAGAAAAGTGGCTAAAAGAAATTAAATGTTTGCAGCAGTGCATATTTATATAGCATTAAAAACCCCGGAAGCAATCCTCCAGCCAGGTTTATAACACCACACACACACGAAATAAATCAGTTTTCCAGATATTGGTTTTTGGAATATACTTAGTGGTTAGTGTATTTAACACTAGTAGAAGCAATTTTATTTTACTCTTCGTATTTATTGATATTTTGTATTTTTTTCCAAGTATGATCAGTCTGCCATTATCAAGGAGCAGTGCTGGAACTTGCAGGCATTTCGCCTTTCCCCCTTTGAGATTAAATAATCTCTTCCTGGGGGCCTGAAGATTCCAAATTTCAACATGCTACAACAAGCTGTAGGCACCATTTGCTTAATTTTGAAAATGTGGCTTAACTTGGATGTTTCACTGCCTCTCAATTTGTGGTTTTCTACCCAATCTTAAAGGGTGCATTAGTGGTTGTGTTGCTAGAATCCCATGGCGTCATACCATGGTAAGGAGGCAAACCATTTTCAAATGAATTTGCTAAAGCTTTGGGGTCTTCTGTTTATTTCAGAAGGACCACATGTGCCTGAGAGACCAAGATATAAAACCAGGTGGAATATATATATATATATAAGCATCCATTCCTTCCTCATATTTAAAGTGCAACCATCCTTGGGCACTGTCACTGAATTGTGTGTGTGTGTGTGTGTATATGTGTGTGTGTATATATATATACACACACACATATACACACACACACACACACAATTCAGTGACAGTGCCCAAGGATGGTTGCACTTTAAATATGAGGAAGGAATGGATGCTTTGGTTTTATCTCAATACAGAAATAATTAAAATAAATATAATGTTTTGCTGTGGCTTAAATCTACAAATAATATGTGAAAATATATATTTCAATCTGGTGCTTGATTCTTCAATATAAATAAGTATATCATCTATACAAGACATTAGCAGACAATGTATTAAGATATTGGCACAGACAGAAATGCAATGATTTAAACACCAATGTACACAGAAAGAAAATTAAAAAACACACAGGGAAAGAAAAAAAAAATAGCCTTGCTAAATGAACAGTGCAAAGATTACTATTTTCATGTATACATTATTTACAGGTACAAAGGTGGTTTTATATTTTTAGGAGTCAGAACAAGTTGTCATAGAGCTACACAGTGCAGTGGTTACAGTGCCATAAGTCCCCAGGCATTCTCATACTAAGGATTCGGACCATTTCCAAACAGTTTGACACTAACCTCAGTAACCTGAGATCACAATGTGAAAATGCCTACTGCTAAATTAGAGACACCAATTTCACTGTGCTTAGGGGGTGAGCAAAATAATCATGTCCAAGTAGGACAAAATTCAGAAGTCAATTGCAGAACAAATACATAAATAGATACAGTGCATTCAGAAAGTATTCTGAAATACTATTTTTTTTAATGTAACAGCTGTATTTTTTTCTTTTAACGTCAATCCACACTTAATTATACCCCCTTAATGACAAGGGGGAGAGGGGTGGGTTGTTGACAGCAATGCAAATCCATTAAAAAACAGGAAAAAATGAAATCTCTCACTGACATAAGTATTCAGACCCTTAAACTCAGTACTTAGTTGAAGCACCTGTAGCAGCAATTAGTCTCAAGTCTTTTTGGGTATTATGTGACAAGTTTGAACACCTGGATTCGTGCCGTTTCTCTCATTATTTCTCTTTCTTTCAAGTTCTCGGGTTGGATAGGGACAGTTGGCGAATAGCAATTTTCAGATATCGATTGGGTTTAAGTGAGTGTCTGGCTGGGCTACTCAAGTACATTCACAGACTTGTCCCTAAGACACTCTTGCATTGTCTTGGCTGTGTCCTTTTTGGCAGGTGAATTTTTATCTCAGTTTGAGTTCCTGAGCACTCAGGACCAAGTGTTTACTTAGAATATCTCTGAATTTTGCTGCACTCTGCTTTTCCTAAGGTCTGGCCAGTCTCCCAGTCCCTGCCGCTGAAAAACACTGCAAAACAGGATGCTACCACCACCATGTGTCACTGCTAGAATGGTACTATGCAGGTGATGAGCAGTTTCCACCAGACATGATAGTTTGAATTAATGTCAAACAGTTCATATTACTTTTCACCAGACCAGAGAATCTTGTATTTCAAGTCCTTTAGATGCTTTGTTTTGCAAAATCCAAGTGGGTTTAAATGTGTCTTGCAGTGAGGAGAGACTCATCTGGCAAGCCTGCCATAAAGGCTAAGATCAGTGGAGTGTTACAGTGACTGATGTCCTTCCGCAAATGTCTTCCATCTCATTAAATCCTCGGAGCTGACCAAGAGTGACTCCTGGTTTCTTGGTCATCTATCTTACCAATGCGCTTATTTCCAATTGCTCAATATGGCCGAGCAGCAAGCTCTTGGAAGAGTTCTGGTTGTTCAAAAGAATTTGGTTGAATTGAAGGTTTCCAAAAGCAGACTGGCTTCCTTAATTCTTAAAGGGATTCTATAGTGCCAGGAAAACAAAGCCGATTTGATATGTACTTTTCAATGAGATGTTAACTTACCTTAGAAAAAGTGTTTATCTCCTACCTTGTAAATGGAGATATATATGTATATATTTTACACACACACACACACACACACTAAGACAGGGCTCAACAAACCTGCCTGGGATTTGTAAGCCTGTACCCTCCGAGGTGGACGGCCAACTAATAGCTCTGTAGGCGGGCAGCAAGGGACCTATTATCTTCTTGCTCGGCTACCTCATGCGCTGCTTAGTGATTCCGGGCCAGAATTTGAGGTCATTCCTGGCCCAGCCTCTCTATACCAGTGCAACGCTCAGTAGGGCTTAAGTTTGCTCGGGTTAAATTTAGGTTTTCCCTTTTATATTGCATGGTGTGCTTTTTGAAACCTTTTTATTTCTGGTTAGTTTGATGAAATACTATTCTGAAAAGCTGATTGCAGCACTTCCTCTATACTTCATTGTGAAACTTTGGAAGTGTATCATCAATTAGTCATCAAACATAGAGCACAGCATTTTCTCCTTCAGAGAGCAGCAATGCAGTCATATGTCCTACATAGCAGTACCATTAACATATAATTCAGCCAATAATTGTAATCAAGAACATGTTCGCTTTCAAAGCAGCAATGTTTTAAAGGAGCTACAGTGAAAATAAATATACTTTCTTCACAATGTAACTGTTCGTGCAGAAGGGCTGTGGATTAGTTACAAACAAGGGGCATTCGGGGGAATATTTTTATTTATCTGAAATGCATTCCATTAGGCTATACAAATAAATTGGTGGTAAATCCACCCTGGAAAGTCCCCTTAAAATAGTAGCTTGCACATTTATGCAAGAGCAAGGACATATAAATCTACAAATATTGTAGCTGCGCATGCATTTTAACAATGTCATCTAAGCAAATGTGCAAAATTAGCCAGGTTAAGGATGTCAACATGCACAATATTTAATTCACACATCTGCTGGCATTTTTCCTAGCACAATGTATCATTGGATTTGTATAATTTATCCAAGACATCACCAATTTTAAAGGTAAATTGTCACTTTGTGGGTTTTTGGACAACTTGCAAGCTTACACAAAAAAAACTATGGATTTAAATATTTAAAAAAATATATATTTCAATCCAAAAGGATGTGCCTAGAACATCAAGAGATTACATCTAAACACTGGGGAGGTAAGTGTGAGCACTGTTCACCTCAGTACATACATCAACGCATACTATGGCAATTTTGTAACTTACAGTTCTTTAACCAACTATGTCTATTAATGTTTTAACAAAAAAAATAATCATACAATAATGCTTTCAACTCCAGCATTACAGGAAGATTCTACTTATGTCACATTTCTGGAAATTAAAAAAAAAAAAAAAGGAGTCGGATATCCAGACTTTTAGAGAGTTTTATCTAGTTTATACAAAGAGCTAGGTTTCAGTGAAGCGATTTAAGCAGTCTCCTCGGTAAAGGTAGAGTTGGGCTGAGTTCATCCAAGAGAAGATACAACTTGATCGTAATTCTCCCATTTTATCCAGAACTGCATTAAAGAGTTTTCAGCACAGGTGCACTATGTTCAGAATAATAAAGGGAGCTATAGTGGCAGAAACACAACTTTGTCTTTCTGGCACTCATAATATTCCTTCAAAGGAATACTATTGCGTTTGAAACACAAAAGTGTATTCCTAAAGCTATAGTGACCCTCAGCCATAAGGCTATTGTCCACCCCCACCTCTGGGCATGGAAAGGGTTTAAAAAATAAAATAAACACAAAACCAACAACGTTTAAACACATGCTTCTTTCCTCCTATGTCAGCAAAGTGGGGATGCAGCAAGTGCTGCGCATGCATTAGGCCTTTCCCATAAAGCATTGATTCAATACTTTCCTATGGTGATGTCGCTGGACGTCCTCATGCAAAGTGTGAGGACATCCAACTCAATTCAATGAGATAAAATTTGTGTAAATGCAGGAAGTGCCACTAGAAGCAGTCTTAACCCTGCACTAACCCATTGTAGAGATTATAGAGCAAAAAAGTCTGTGAAGCTTAAAAACGGACTGACATCAGCCACAGCAACTACAGACTCTGCACCATGACTATAATTAACTGTAGTGATTAAGGAAGAGTGCCAGTTTAAAAGGGCACTATAGTGTTAGGAATATAAATGTGTTCGTGAACTGCTAGATGTTTAGATTACCAATGTTTTACATTGCAGGGTTAAAACTAAAGGGAGACTGTACCCAGACCACTTTACTGAGATTAAAGGGACGCTGTAGTCACTGTAACCATTTCATCTCATTGAATTGGTTTTAGTGCCTCGAGTACCCTGGAAATGTTCATGCATTCAGTATTAATACGCATAAAAGCAGTTAAACACTTAAGTGTCTCTGGCCACCCACAGTCCTTCCCCAAGCTGGAGGTGTGACTAAGGCAGAGATTGCACACTTCCTTGTAGTCATACAATCAGTTGGAGATCTGATAGGCTAGAAGCAGTCAGCTGACACTCTCAGCCAATCACAGCTGCTCAGACTAATACTTCCTCCCTAGCCAAAGCCGCAACGATGGGGTGGCCTGCTGGCGACTCTTGTTTAGCATTGATGCATTCAAACGGTTTAATGCTGAATGAAATGACATTACCAGGGGACTCCAGACAGTGACTACAGTGTCCCGTTAAGTGGTCTGGTTCTTTTAAGGGTGTAGCCATCAACTGGGACTGGTAACAATATATATTTAAAATAAAAACATTTTTATTTTGATTATTATTTTTAACTATGGTTCAACCAGTATTAACCTCCCAATATCAGAATCTCTCTTCAACTGAGATCACAATAAATTCAATGACAAATGCAGCTAGAGCTTCCATAATAAGCTGACATACGGAGCTTACCCCCTTCCAAAATTCACTAGTGTAGCCAAATCCCTGTAGAAATTGTGGATGAGCTTTGGAATTAAGGGCATCCTCTCTGTGAAATTCTTGTTTTAACTCCAATTAACATATTGAACTTTGTAGAGTGAACACAAAAGTAACAAAGAGGCTTTAGGAGCCACAATCCACCATGAGATTTGTACAGCTCCAATTATTGGAACTTTTCAAGAATTTCCCTTTAAACATCCACCAGAAACTAGACAAAGAGTCTAAAACAATGGCTGCTGAAAATGTCAAGGCCAGGAAACTAGTCCCTGACACACTGTAGTTCAACTGAGTATTGTCAAGTGGAAATTCACAGCACATGATACTGAATGTTAACAGAGTTAACTAGTCACTACAGTTTGAAAGCGATTAAGTCAAAGGGATATGGCAAACTGCTCTTAAAGCCAACAAACAAACCTTTTTTGATGAAACATTATGCACAGTGGTGCTCAGAGAAACCAAACTTATATGTAGAAAAATAGTATGCATATGTGTAAATAAATATTAATAAAGGAAGACAACTTTGTAAAGTTATTTCTGATTGATCTCTAAATCAGCGCGCTTGGAGAAGAGAGAGAGGAGGGTATATGTAACATTCAACTAACGGTGTCTATCAAAATTATTCTATCCATGTATTTCAAAACAAACCAACACCTACCCAGAGGTGCAAGTCTGTACCCATCTCTTAACTTGAAGCTATATCACATTCCAGAAATACATGTTATATGCAGTGGACAGCGTACTTACATAGAAAAATATAACATTGATGAATTCATCGATTATAGAGCAAAAACAATGAGCATTAGTTTTACTTATACACTTTTTTTATCACTTTAAAAAGCATTGTCACATTCTGGGTTCTTTTCATATTTGGCAGAGACTCCGATGATGATGACTCTCCGCATGCAAAGCAGTGGTCCGGGGTGCATGGTTTTACTTACCTGAAGCTGTCCATTATCATCCAGTGGATCCTCTTCAGTTCCTTGAGCTTAATCTGCCAGGAGCCCACAAGACTACAACACTGATATCTATGGAGACTCCATAGACAATTCCTTTTTCCTCTCAGCTGTCATTAGTGACAGCTGCAGGAAATGGCAACATTTTAGTCAACTTTGTTTTCCTGGCACTATAGTTTCCCTTTAAGAAGATAAATAGCCTCAAATTGCTGAACGGACATTTAATAACACAGGCTCCAGTGATTCAATAAAACTAAAGAGGAAGGAACACACAGTGTGCACCAATATTAATTGGTGTGGCATATGTAGACTTTTGCTTTATATTATGCTGATGCTTGCAAATCTTAATACGTAATATCCCTATTACTACTATTCTGCGGACATGGGATTTCTCAGTATTGCATGGGTTAAACAAACAAAAACAAAAAAAGAGTAGGACATCAGTAATTTAAAGCCTAATGAGAGTATCTGCCTATTGGCCACCAGCCCTCATCCAACATAAGCATCATGCAAGGATTAAACGAACACTATAGTGCCAGGAATACAAACTTGTATTCCTGACAATATAGTCCTGAAGTAGCTGTATAGGTGACCCTCCCCCCCCCATCTCAGTGAAAAGGTCTCGCTGCTGCATCTCTATGGGGAACGTTTATCATGGAGATGCTAAACACTGCCTAGTACTGGCTAAGAAGCACCTCTAGTGGCCATGTGAGTTACTGACATTTGAGGTGTTACTAAGCACCAATGTAAACACTTTTTTCCCTGAACATGCAGCTTTTACATTGAAAAGCCTGCAAGGACAAGCTATATTATTATAGCCTTTTATATAGCACCAACAAATTCCACACAGACACCAAAACCACTAAATTAAAGGACCACTATAGGCACCCAGAAAAATTCAGCTCAGTGAAGTTGTCTGGGTGCAAGGTCCCTCTAGTGTTAACCCTGCAGCTGAAAACAGTTTCAGAAAAACTACTATGTTTCACTGAGGGTTAATCCAGCCTTTAGTGGCTGTCTCACTGACAGCCACTAGAGGCGCTTCTCACTTTGAAAATCCCAGTGAGAAGACGCTGGATGTCCATCGTTTAATTGCGCGCGCATTCGGCACAGACGTCGGCAGAGAGAGGAGAGTTCCCCAGCGTCCGGTCCTGTCACTTCCTGGTTTGGTTAGCTTATTTGCACTGAACTCAAGAGGCAGCAATTTCCTACAGTACCTGTCTTGCAAAGACTTCTCATTGATCTGCATTGGGAAGTCTGTGATTGGGTTGGAAGGGGAGGGTTTGTAAATGCAGACGAGATCTGATGTTTTTGCAAGCTGTTTTTAAATACAATTCCAATTTCAAAATGCATAATTTAAGGCACACATTTTCATTTAGAGTATATCTACTAAACAGTGATTTTTTTAATATTTTGAATTTGGGCACCACAGTGTTCTTTTAAAGGACCACTATAGGGACCCAGACCACTTCAGCTCAATGAAGTGGTCTGGGTGCCAGGTCCATCTAGAGTTAACCCTGCCGTAAACATAGCAGTTTCAGATAAACTGCTATGTTTACATTAGGGTTAATCCAGCCTCTAGTGGCGTTTCTCATTGTTAAAAAACACAGCGAGAAGACGCCAGCGTCCATAGGAAAGCATTGAGAAATGCTTTCCTATGGACTCACTGAATGCGCGCGCGGCTCTTGCCGTGCATGCGCATTCAGTGGATGACGTCGGAAGAGGGAGGAGAATCCCCAGCGCAGAGGGAGCCCGGCTCTGGAGAAAGGTAAGGGTTTAACCCCTTCCTCCCCCTTCAGCCTGGCGAGAGTGGGACCTAAAGAGCCAGGAAAACGAGTTTGTTTTCCTGGCACTAGAGTGGTCCTTTCTTTTAAAGCTGCTTGTTTCCACTGAGTGGAACGGTTCGGGTCGGTACAGTTTGGAAGGGTTAGAATGGTCCGGCCTATTCAGGTGAGCGTTTACACTGCAAGTCGAACCCCAGGGGCCATGCGGGGTTTAGACCAAATGCCTAGCGTGTCAATTGACGTGAGCATTGACGTTTTCCTGTCTGCTAATCAACGGATTGTATAGTGTGACGATAGTAGCTCCGCCCTAACCGTACTGTACCATTTCCTATGGACCTTCATCTGAAGGGGGAATGGTGTGGTTCGGTTTAGTTGTATGGGCCACTTTCATAATGGAAACACTCAAAATAGCGTACCAAACCGTTCTGCTCAGTGGAAACGAGGCATTAGATGTGCGGGAGCAATATTGAAAGTGATGTAAATAATGTTTTTTTCCCCCACTGTGATTAACCTTTAAATAGCATACTGTATTATTTATACCAGGGCTCAAAATTTCTACTTGCCACGAGCCATTGGAGAGTAGACCACGACCTGCAGTGGTGAATAACTTAAAGAATGGCAGTAGTGCATAGGACTTTAGATATTAAGCCCTGATACTAAATTGTATTTATACAATGTGCTAGCTACATTCCATGCAAAAGTATAGCTGAGGTTGTTTACATTTTCTGACTTAGTCATTGCTGGTATTACCAGTCGACAGTGGTAAAGACTACAAACATTGAGGGCAGGGCAGCTTTCTCTGCTGCTGCACTGCCCATTCCTCAACTTATTGCTGGAGGAGGTTTGCAGGGGAGGAGTGATGCCTGGCATATACTGAAGAACAAGCCTGTCCAACCTGCGCCCCCCCAGATGTTGCTGAACTACAACTCCCATGATTCGTCCAATGAAACAGATGGCAAGGGAATCATGGGAGTTGTAGTTCAGCAACACCTGGGGGGCAGCAGGTTGGACAGCGCTGCTGTAGGACTTGAAATCCTGATTCCTGCACATATATTATACAAACCCACAAATTTGTTTGGCACATATATACTATACACACGCAAACTCAATCTTTACTCATACATGGAAAATGGGATAGGTGGGTTACTGAAAATGTAACTTTTTTGAGGAAGCTGGCTGCATAGTGTTCATAGAAAGGAAACAATGTTTAAAATGTGCAGCAAAAATCCTTGCATTGGCGAGAACTACAAACAGGCTAAATGATTTACAGTTGGAGAGCTCTATTGTGAATGTGACATTCACGCTGAGGCATCAACAGTTTGATACTGGGCACACTTCTGATAGAATGACCAAAGTAGTCACAGTCCAAAGCACATTTCACACCTACACAACTACCTGATTGTTATTATATTCATCTTAACTTACTGAGATCCAGGAATGCAACTGGTTTTCTCTGTTTCAATAAATGATGAACCATGACTAAAGGGAAAGCACAAAAGATTTAAAGGAGCATCCTACCTAACAATACCACAACTAGCTGTAATACTGCTTAAATGGAAGCTTTAAAACACATTAAGATGTAGTGTTTTGTGTGATGGTCTTTTTACTTGGACAACGTAAAAAACATTGTCATTTCTGAGAAAAGGCAATGTTTACACTTGTTTAAGATCACAGCTCTAATGGCCATCTGAAAGCCACAGGAGGCACTTCCTCCTTCAAAGGAATATGCCTACATTAAAAATGAAATTGTTTTTTATTTTAATTTGAAAAAAAATTCACGTTTAATCCAGCCGAGTCATAGAGAAGCACTTGAGACTACAAGATATAAGGGGCCATATGCCCAATTTACCAAAAGAATGCAACTCTAAGAACACTTGTTTAAAGTGAGTGAGCAGGAAACGCTCCCAGAGGTCTTGAAGGTACCTACCTTGAATGTTTAACTAATGCCAATAATAAAAGTACAAATTACTCTTAAAATTGTGACTATTATAAAATAGAACAGTGTGAACTTTGTTAGTTTCTGAAGCACTCCAGCAAGTTAAAATGCTTTAGGGAGCTGGAGAGTTTATTCAAGACCTTCACATTCTGCATCATCACACAGCATGATGGGGTAAAATACAACTCCACTCTTCTCAAAGAAGCACTGAATTAACAAGTCTGGTGACTGCCACACATGCACCCCATGACTTCACTGGCAAAGCAGCAGCAGCTGCAGTGGATTACAGGCCATTATAAGGAGCTCAAAGTTATCAAAACTGTTCCTTTAAAATGCCCTGGCACCTTCCATTTGTTTAACATCAAACTATTTAGAAATGGCTTGCCACAAACCCAGAAATTAACACTTTCCATTATCAGTCTGACAAAAAACTGGAGGACATTGGCTGAGAGTGCTGGGACTGGCACTCAGCAAATCAATATTGTCAAGATTGGACAAAACTGGTACCAATAATGTGGAAGTGTTAAGCTCATACTGTCCATGCCCATGTAGTTGAGATGATGCTGTCCCTGGGCACAGAGAAAAACACATACCTAATCATTTTGATATTAAAACAGAGGATGGCACCAGGGCACTCCATGCACCATAGCAATATAATATTATGTTAATTGTCTCCTTGATTCACATACATGTTCAATTATCTGTCGTGTCTGCCAAAATACCCAAACTGGAGTTTCAACATATCAGTACACAGTTACTAAGACATTTGCTAATACATCTGTATTTTGCTAAGTTTTCTATAAAACCTGCACTGACAATAGAACCATAAAATATATATTATAATATATATTTTATCTAAAAACATTTAACAGTGTTCTCAGAAAAGTTAAAATAAAACCAATCTGGTCTCTGTAACACAAAAGATTCAACACTTTTCTGCAAAACAGCCTACTAACTCACCCTTGGCATAAGCTCTACACCACCCTTGCAATGAAAGTGTTAATATAATGTACAAGATTCCAACATGACACTGGACAGTCAAAATATAAATGGGATAAAGAAAAAAAAAAAGTAAATTAAGACTATCAAAGGCAGTCCAGAGATTGAGACAAAGTCTCACACAACTAAAATGGCATATATTCTGAGGTGAGGACATCAATGCACACAAAACCAAAATTGCAGGATGGTTGTAACATTTGCCACTTTAAAATGGAAGTAGAACAATCATAAACGTAATTGTACACAGAAGTCAGTTTAAGAAAGCAAACACCAAAAAACAGATCTGTCATTGATACTGAAAAAAACAAAACCTATATCTATTCACACACATACAGTTATATGTTTAACAAACTGTACTTATTTTACTAAACTGGCCAATATTAATTGTTAGTGTGGCAGAATTCACATCAATAAATGGATAGGGGTTGACAGCTTCCTAAAGGACCCTGCCCCTCCTTACTCCCCTCCCCCAACAACCTCCTCCCTGCTGCATTTCCGCTCTGCTTCCCAACCCCCTACAAAACCTCAATCATTCACTGTTTTATCAGTTTCACATAAACAGCACAGATTCACTGTTATTTATATATCATTTACTGAAAGGCAACATTATCAGCATTCACTATAATCCCTTTAAAAAGAACTCATCACCCGGTCATCCACCCCAATTTTCCTTACTCTATATTTTTAACTGTGTATAATACAGGCTTGCAATATCATTCAGCAGGGCAGATCTAAAGTGGGTTTTTAGCTGCTAGACTGCAGCTCCTATGAAGCCCAGCTCTCCATAAGAATCTGATTTCAGCTCTGGTGTAATCATTCCAATGGGAGGAAGAGAATGATGTCCACTAGCCTGGGCACTCCATTTGTTGTGGTTTACATGGATGTAAATGAAGGATTAGTTCATATATTATGGAGTGCCAAAGGTTGGCCACTAAGAGGCTGTGCCATCTGACACACAAGGGCTTAAAACTGGCCTGACACCAGAATGTGGCCTATACACCCTCAATATGGTAGATACCCATCACTGCCCTGGTACCTACTGCCCAGGGAGGGTGCAATGCTCACATCTTCATTAATAGACCTACCCTAACATTAATACCACAAGCCCATACATAAATACCCCTATTTATTAACACTGTCCTGCCCTCAGAAAGCACCCAATGTCTCTCCATTAACCCCTCCGCTCTGCGTATTTACCCCATGTCTCTCCATTAACCCCCCTGCTCTCAGTAATTACCCCATGTTTCTCCATTAACCCCCCCATGTCTCTCAGTAATTACCCCCATGTCTCTCAGTAATTACCCCCATGTCTCTCAGTAATTACCCCCATGTCTCTCAGTATTTACCCCCATGTCTCTCAGTATTTACCCCCATGTCTCTCAGTATTTACCCCCATGTCTCAGTATTTACCCCCATGTCTCAGTATTTACCCCCATGTCTCAGTATTTACCCCCATGTCTCTCAGTATTTACCCCCATGTCTCTCAGTATTTACCCCCATGTCTCTCAGTATTTACCCCCATGTCTCTCAGTATTTACCCCATGTCTCTCAGTATTTACCCCATGTCTCTCAGTAATTACCCCATGTCTCTCAGTAATTACCCCATGTCTCTCCATTAACCCCCCTGCTCTCAGTAATTACCCCATGTCTCTCCATTAACCCCCCCTGCTCTCAGTAATTACCCCATGTCTCTCCATTAACCCCCCCTGCTCTCAGTAATTACCCCATGTCTCTCCATTAACCCCCCTGCTCTCAGTAATTACACCCATGTCTCTCAGTAATTACACCCATGTCTCTCAGTAATTACCCCCTACATACCAGGCCCTCCGGTCAGGGGCAGTTAGATGAAATGACAGGAAGCCCTATACACCCAGTCCCCCCCCCTCCCCCGGCCTCTCTCTCTCTCTCTCACTGAGTGGTGGTGGGGGCTGGGCGGTGTCCAGGAATACTCGGCTCTCGGGCACACTCCTCGATCCCCGCTTCACACTCGCCCCCCCGCCCGCAGTGTATACCGATTAATCCCCGGTGTGGAGGAGCCGCCGCTTACCTCTCAGTCTTTCCCCCTTCTCTCCACCGGGCGTTGGCAGGTCTACACAGGGTTTCCTGGGCTGATGGGCAGGGGCAAACTCAACGTCATGACGTAATCGCGTCATGCAAAGCTATGAGAGAGGCGCGTCCACGAGCTGGGCTGGGAAACTGCCCACACAGGCGGCCATTTTGGATGCGGGCACGAGATATGAGAAAAAAAAACACGTTTAAAAAAAGCGTTTATTTTTAGGAAAAAGTGCTTGCGAGCCTTCTAAAAGTATTTCACTTGTGCTTTGTTTTATTTTTTAGTTATATCTTACTGTGTGCTAACAGAAAGGTGGAGGTGCCCCATTCAAAGATGGCGACCCGGTAGCGTCACTTCCGGCCAGCTGGATCTTAGCTTCTGCTTTTTGAGATATCTTTGAATCCGATGGAAATAGAGACATTTTGGAGTTTAATTATTCATATATCCGGTTGAACACTGGAATTTCCAGCAAGTGGGGGCACCTCTGGATGCTGCACTAACCACCCCACACACATTATAAGGTAACTGTGATAAGGTAGCATTGTATTTTACTTTATTTATGGAGAAATATAGCACAATTTATACAATTAAATAATATTGTAAATTTGTTATTATATATAATATATATATATTCCCTGGTGATATCAGACATGGTGAGCATGTGAGCTTTTTAATCATGGGCACTTATAAAAGATGCAGGCTGAAGGGTTGCATAACAAATTAACTAATTTATATGATTTGGAATACATTAGTTTAAAACAATTTCCAATGTAATAACAGCCGCCCAACTCATTAGTTTAAAGGAACACTACAAGTGTCATAACCACTAAAACGCGCTGTAGTGGTTATGGTGTCAGGAGTGCCCCTCTCCTCCCCCCTAATGTAATCAATCAAACCGTTTAGTAAAGGCTGTCTTTTTATACCCGCCGTAAGAAACTCCCTATCTCCTCTTCTCCCTTCCGAAAGCGCTCTTTACTGAGGTGAGCCCAGCTGAAAATCTAAGCCGATGAGCTGGCTCTACTAGGCTCTTACTTCCAGTTGTCTGCCCAGTGGACGTCAAGTCAGGAGTCAAATCTTTGACTACTTGCATTTATGGGTTCACAAAGTCACTCCTGGCACTAATATCGCTTTAGAATTACAAATAAGTACATAATACCCAAGGACTCTCACTTGCAGGTGTCCGCTTTGCTTACCCAAATTCAGGAGTCAAACTGTTAGCAGTTTGACTACTTACTTTGGGGGTGGGTGGACAAGGCACCTCCCGGCACCAAAACTTCTCCATCATTACAAATAAATACAAAGTACTCCAGGTAAAAAAAAAAAACCTGAAGACCATCAAGTCTATATCTGTGGGTGATCCAAAAGAAACAAAACAAAAATCCCATTAGTAGTCAATTTTATTCTGGAACAAACTGGGAAAAATCCTTCTTGATTCCAAAACGATAGTAGATATCTCTCTGGATCAACAGACTGCTACCTCCTTCATTAAAGGGAGACTGTAGGCACCCAGGCCATTTAATCTCAATAAAACAGTTTGGGTGCCATGCCACTGTAGTTGAAAACACTGGCATTCTGCATAACGGCGATGTTTTCATTGCTGGGTTTAAGTGCCTCCGTGACTGTCACTCAGAATGCAACTAAAGACGCCTCTAAGGGAAATATCTGAGTAAAATGCTGCTATTTTTATCAGATGGCTTCATAGAGCATGCATACGCACTAGCCTTTAAAATGCTTCCCTATGGGATCGATCTTAATGATCTCAGTTAAGGAGGCGTGCCAGAATGACTTGTACTGCAAGGAGAAAATATAAGTAAAAGTTATTTTTATTTTCTCCCTGCAGGTGGGGGCTGCTCACCTAAATGGTCACCTAAACGTCAACAACATGTGTTCATTTAATAATTGTACCCTGTACCCTTTTTTTTTTTTTTAAATCCAGATTGTTCTTTAAAACAGTGGTTCTTAAAGGACCATTTAGTGCAGTGGTCCTGTTATTTTAACTCTTCAATGTAAAAAGTTTTGTACAAACTGTAATATTTCCACTGCAGGGTTACGTACACCTCTAGTGGCTGTCTTCTTGAGGACATCCAGTCTCAGTGAAAATCCCATTGAGTCCATGCTTTCTTATGGGTAAGATGTGAAGGGTGTGGCTGCTGGGGAAGGGGTGATCAGAGGGGACTATAGTGTTAGGAATACAGCTTTGTATTACTAACACTTTTAGTATCCCTTTAAATGCTCCTTAAAGCAGTATTTGATTGGAAGAGCGTGAGACTCTTTATTTTGTAGTTTGTTGCAGGGGAACATATCTTGGTGTTGAGGCCTACTATTCCATATGCAGCCCATTCTCCCATGTGTCTTAGTTCAGAATCCATGTGCCTCACACTACACAAACAATACAGTCAGTATCTATCAAAGCAATCACTCTCTCTCTAAGGGACGATTTTTTTTCAGCATTTGTACACCCTGTCATTACTGTGCTTGCTTTTGAGTAACCCAACGCCCTCCTCCAGAGCTGAGTAGGTTGTTTCTGGCTTTTGCTCACCCCATTTACCAGATGCAAACCCTGAAAACTCATTGCACTACTTAGCTTCCTCGGGAAATGCTGTGCCATTCAAGTGTTTTAAATTAATATCAAAAGGCCATAGCTATAAGCAAATGCTGTTTGAATTGTCACTCTCTTGAGTACAAGCTGCTTTCACACTTTTGGGGGAGCCCACAACAGTGTAGCCATCATTTGAGCCTGCTGTTGATTAGTTAGGACCTGGATCCCTAGCGGAATCTTGGCTAAATGTTGTATGATCCTATAGAGGCTCCTGCTACACCTTGGAGGGGTTGCGCAGTTGAGTGTTTAGGGACTGGTGGGTTCTGGGTTCTCCATGTCTCTTCTTGTCCCATTGAAACCTGCTGTGTGGCTAGCCTTGAGCAGTCGTGGCCTGGAATCACCTGTTGAGCCATGAAACATTGTGTTTACATCTCTGGGCAGAGCTTAGTACACAAAATATATTTTCATATTCACACAACCCAGCACTCAACCTCATACATTTCCCTTTATGGAGTTTTACTCCATTTCAATTTACATTTCCCTCCACCTTCATATTCAGAGAAAGGGATTGCTATCTGGCCTGTTTGACGGCTTTGTTTTTGCTACAGGTATCAGATGATGTCTATTAGGGACTTGTTGTGTAGGTTTTTATATGTATCCGTTTTCAGGAAAGTTACATTTCCCTTACTAGCTATATAAGAATGGTCTTTCGGGTTCCCTGGTCACCAGCAATTGAATTTGAATCCCACTTTTGGGTCTACATGAACGATCTATACCTATCTGTGTTCTCCTATATAACTAATTAATTTATTTTTATGTCATCTCTTCTTTTTCTCATTTCTGCTTTCACTTCTGCCCAGTCTTCTACTTCTCCCTACTACAAGCCCTAGTTACTTGTTTGCAATTTACGTAATTCTTGTGTCTTTTCTGAATCAGACTATTTTTTATTATATGCTGCTGCCCGGCTCCATTAATAACGCGTAACACTCCTTACTGAATATCTTAGGTAATGTTGCCAGATTAGGTAACAATTTTTGCAAGTTTGCATTAGCCTCTTCAATGGTGTATAATGGATATCTCCTGATACTGCTTATATGAACTGTATAACCTTTACTAATTTACACTAGACTAGAGCAAAGTCACCTCTTTGCGCTCAATTTAATATTGTTATCTTGTCCAGTATTATGCCTGTCTCTATCAAAAAATCTTAAAGAAAAAAACAAACAAATATATTTATTTTAAACCTTACATAGTATTATAAATATAATAAAGTATCACACCAATGTAAGAAACACGGGGGCATAACACGCCAGCATCATGTCTTTAGGAATAGACTGTACTGACTGCTAAATGTAGCAGTTGGTCTTTAAACCTTAAAGCGGTACTGTCATGAAAGGTTTACCGTAATATGACCCCCCTAATGTATTGACTGCTTCATATAATAGAAATACATTACTCGGTGTAAATTATCAAGATAGCGTCTCGCCATACCTCCAATCCAATACCCCCATGTCTTCACCTTCGAGGATGTTACTCTTCTGCCTCCGGTCCGCCCACTCTTTTCTTTCAATTGCCCTTCTTTGGGATGCCTCCACAAGCAGGACAACCTCCTCTTTCATGCTAATACGCTGGCTTTATTACCAGCATACCAGATTATCGGTTCTGACATTTATTAGAGCCGATATTCAGCATGTTTCTGATAATCATTATTGTAATTTACTTGTAATTTACTGATATTACGGATAATTTACATCATCCCTCCCTGTGATTCCCCTGCATGCCAGTCTCAGCTTAAAGGGACACTGTAGGCACCCAGAAAACTTCAACTCATCGAAGTGGTCTGGGTGCAATGTCCCATCACCCTTAACTTTGAACATGGTTTTTATAAACTGCAGTAATTACCTGCTAGGGTTAACTCCACTAGAGGGACTAAATGACGCTGGACTTCCTCACGCTATGCATGAGGACTTCCATCGTCATCGGAATACCCACAGGAAAGCATTGAATAAGGCATTAGGTCTCCTCCGCCAGCTGACAGCAGGGGAGGAGCGTGCCCGGACTCGAGCCAGCGCTGGAAAAATGATAGTGGTCCATCCCTAATAGCAACTTTCAAATGTTTTTACAGTTTGGCCATTTTAACATGAAATTTTAAATTCAGTTTAATATTCTGGCATTCATACTTTTTAGTGAAAAGCCTCGATAGATATGCTTAGCAGAGCTATAAAAAAAAACCAAATCTCCTGTCTGTCTTGTCAGATGCCTATGTTCGGTCACATGTTTGCACCATTTAAAAAAAAATCTTGAAAAAAATAAATTCTTTGTCATACTTATATAGACTTTTCACCTCCATTCCCAGAGACACAATGATAATTTCAGTTGTTTTAAATGCTTACAACTATTTTTATTTTGTCAGACATGTTCTCCTTCTGTATATTCCTGCTTCAAATTAAGTCTGTTTTGTTTTTTACTCTGTTACCCCATTAGTGTCATGGCAGAGAGAAGCAATACCAGCTGGGTCCGGACTGTGTCTTCATTTCATGCCAGTCCTAAATCCTTTTTATCCAATGTTGCTCCGGATGCTTTTTTGGATGAGCTCATAACAGATCTTACAAGTGAAACTATAAATGAGCAAACAAAGGTAAGATATCCTATATTTCCTCTTATTTTATTTTTATTTTATTTTTTATTTTATTGAAGTTTTGCAAAACGGGTAGGAGATTTGCTACATTTCTTTAATCTGAATGCAGTTGCACCCAGCTAAAATATTGTCACAGTGACACATTGCCTTGCTGTGCATGTCCAGTAGTTATAGAGAACATGGGCTGTGCCTCCCTGAATGTAAGATAAAGATTTAATATTTTATTAAACTACTTTAACCGCCTCTGTAAAGTTTAGTTGCTTAGTGATGATCTCATCAACGGAAGTTAAAAGTAGATCAATGCTAGATGAAAGCACTGGTCTTTGCTGCTGGATTGTACACCGCCTATCTCAAAGATAATGTCGACATTGTATAAATAAAGGTCAAGGCAAGAGGGCAAAATGCAGTGAAGATGTCCTTCATGCCCCTACGCAGTGATGAACTATTAACTGTCTCACACTGTATTCCAATCTCTCAACTAAGATGAGTGTAAGTTGCTTACAGTATTGGTGGTACTCATAACAAAAAATAGGACATACACTCAAAGGAACACTGCAGACACGTTGGGTACAAAATGCAGGCCAGATGCAGTTAGCTATTGTTTTGGCGTCAGATTTTATTTTATTTATAAAAAAATGTTTTAAGCTCCAAGCTCGATTTCCACTAATTATATATACCTAGAGTAAAACAGCTGTGATGGCTTGTCATGTAGCTGTATTATCCCAAGGTTGTGGGGGGTTATTTCAGCTGTAAAAGACCTGCTGAAAGCTGTACACCCTCAATTCACTTAAGTTGTAAAAAAAAAAAAACCTTGAATTTATCTTTTGGCACATAGTAATTGATTCTATTTTTTATTATCATGTAAAATGTAATAAATGTGTTGTTTTTTGGGGGGGTTATTCTATGGACCTATATTTTTTTTTTTACTTGCCTACACTGTTCACCCCACTAAAAACTGTCACTTCCCGATAAGTAATAGTTCCACCTTAAAGCGGCACTGTCACGCCAAACGTACCTTTCGCCTATTGTTTCCTCCTATGTTTCGCTCTCAGAATCTGTTCTTGTTTTCTTTAAAACATAAGACAAAGTAGGAAATACTTTGTCTTATGTATTTTTCATACGCTCGACTTTCTTTGACCTAAGGAGGAGCTTAAGTCAGCTTCATTTCCTTTGTCAAAGGAGGCACTCGCTATTCTCCTTGACACAGTAAATGGGGCTGAATTAAGCTCCTCCTTTGGTTAAAGAAAGTACTCACTGTGGATACATGGAATGGCCTTCCAGCTGAAATGGTAGAGGTTAACAGTGCATGGGATAGGCATAAGGCTATCCTAGCTATAAGATAAGGCCAGGGACTAATGAAAGTATTTAGAAAATTGGGCAGACTAGATGGGCCGAATGGTTCTTATCTGCCGTCACATTCTATGTTTCTAAGTACTCACCCTTCTCCTTGATACAGGAAGTGGAGCTGACTTAAGCTCCTCCTTAGGTCAAAGAAAGTCAAAATAGGGAAAAATAGTCCCTACTTAGTCTTTTTTTTTTTTTAAGAAAAGTAGATCAGAAATAAAGAAAAGAAGAACAGATTCTGAGCGAGGAAGAGAAGAGGAAACAATAGGGGAAAGGTACCGTATATACTCATGTATAATTTGAGTGCAGTTTTTGACCAACAATTGTAATATATACTATGACTTGTGGATAAGTCGAGAGTACGAGTTTCGAATGAAATTGTTCCCCTTCTGTTTGGTTACCGAACAGACTCTGTGTGGTCCCCCTTGTCAACACCTCGTAATCACTGACCACCCCTGGCTGTTAAGCGCAAACAAGCATTCCCTTGGGTGTCCGTCATTCGTATATACGAACGCACGTGTTTGTCTCCCGAGCGCAGGCAGCGGTACATGATCGTAGACGGCATGGATCTGAGTCGGCTATGCAAGTTCGCGAACCCCGTTGAAACTTGTACCCCTGCCCGTTCGACTTCCCGACCAGCTAGGAGAACGGCGTTCGAGAGTCAACATTGCCCCGCATTCAATGTACAAAATTCTGTCAACACTAGCATAAGTCGACTGCGTTTTTAAATCTCAACTTATACACGAGTATGTACGGTAAGTTCGGCATAACTGTGCCGCTTTAAGTGTCATGTGAGATTGCATATGAGATTTGTTATGACAATGCCATCCAGTAATGTAAAAATCATTGTAACAATAGTAACTGCATCTAAAATGCAATGACTGAATATATGATATGGATGTGAATTGTAATAAGACTTGCCATTGCTATTTTAATCTGAATTTTTATTGTCTCTGTTTAATTTATATTGCAGGTTTTAATGTTGAATCTCTTCTTGGAGTTTCCTAATCATCTGTGTCCAGATCAGAGTACAGGAGAAAAGACCACAGAGCTACTACTGAATATTTTAAAACCCATGTTAAAGTCTGGAAAAAGTGTACCTTTTAGATGCCATCTTTTATTAGCAATTGAGACTGTTTTGATTACAACTGATAACTTTAATCTCACTTGCAAAGTAGCACAAGAGTTTGCATCTATGTTAATGCACATCACAGCGGACATAAATGACAGGAAGCAAGGAGCGGTCAACCGACAACTGCGCGTCACAGCTTGCGAGTGCCTGCGGGAATTGGAAAACTGCTATCCTGGATTTCTGTGTGACCGACTGGAAACACTGTATTATATGCATCAGCAAGAGATTACTTATATACATCAATCATACACCATTCTATACACTGTTGCTTTAAAGAATGCTGTGCAGGTGTTGGCACGGAGAGGTGGTCCAAACAATGGCATGCTAAAGGTGATACTGACGAGTAACAAATACTTTTTCTGGAACGCCACAGAAAAGTCTAGAGTTCTCCAATCTACATCAGGAGAACAGGCTGTGTTACTTGCTCCCAATAGTGAAACAAAAGAAATTAAATCTGTTCTAGCACTTCTTTTAGAAGACTCATACCTTCTATCACCCATTTGCCAAAATACTCTGTTTTGGCAAATAACTCAGATAGTATCTATGATCAGTTCAGTATCACCAGTGGTTTTTAAATCACAACTAGTCCGGTTATTTGGTACGATGGACATATCATTTTTTCACAGTATACTGCAAATGAAAGCCGTATTTACTGACAGTCTGTTCACTTCAGAAGATGAACACTTCCTTCTTAAAAGACTTGTAGGTATGACACAGCACCCACTTCTTAGCACAGCAGTGAAACTATTTTATTTAGACTGTTTGTTACATTTTCCAGAAAACAGACCTCTTAATTCAAATCCTGGGGAGAACTTGCCCGTTCTTCTTACTGTTCAAATGACTTCATCTTTGTTCCCTACTATTTTTAATGACTACAGCACCATGCTTTGCAGACAGAATTTGCTAAGCATGGTTTATTTGGAAAATGAAGGGTGTCATTCGGAGACGGGCATTGGGTTTCTTTTCGAACATCTCATGTCACTTTATAGCATGGTACACAGGAATGGAAACTGTGACATTACATCAACGTTTTTTCGAGCTTTCTATCTTTTTGTCCGCTATTTTAACAGCTGTGAAAAATATATGGAAAATCTGATAAAAGTCCTCTTAGAATTATACAGGAGTCAGAGCTCCTTAGCTCCTTACTTTATCAATCTTATTAACGAGACTCAAATACTGCTTGAATTTCATTCTTGGCCGATCTCTTTGTCAAAAGCCTTGCAAAAGCTAATAGTTGATCTTCCTCTTGAAAAACAAAATGTGAAGTGCCTTGGTTGGCACCTGCAAGTTCTTGCAAGAGTTGCGCAGGAGAATACTATTCAGCAAAAAAAGACGGTCTCCTTTCTGAAACGAGTGGCTGTGCAATCTGGAATATGTCAGAGAGGAGACTGGAAGGCAGGCAATGCTGTTTTGTCTGTGTGCAAGAACCTGCTTCAGCATCAGCACCTCGACTCTGTATTCATGCTTCTGGCTGATCTCCTGCAGTATCTAATGCACCATTTTGAGGATATTGACATCCAAGATCATGCTCGGTTATACTACATCCTTCTTACAAATGTCGCCAGTGATAAACTGACGAAGGTACTAACCATGTCACCAGTAAAGGGTAAGAGCAAAGCAAGGTCCTTGTCTTCTATCATGACAGAAAATGAGAATTTCTCCACTCTTCTGACCATTCACAATACTCCATGTACAGTGCTCCAGTTGTGTACGGTTCCAAAAGTTTCAAATGATTTTCCAGTTTGTTCTGAAGCCTCAGTGTTGGATAACTCAACAAGTGACCATTTGCTTGAAGAATACAATAAACAATTGATTGAGCGGAGTTTTTTTCTTACAATGAAATACCATTTGTCCTTCAAAGGAGACATCGAGCCCAAAAACCACCAAGTCTTCTGTATTGCACTTGAGTTTGAGCAGGTAGATTCCTGCTATGAACCTATAAGTGAAATTACTGTTCCGTGCCTCATACTTGGTCGAGAACCTCCAGTTGTTACATTATATATAATACCTAAAGATCCTTACCCATCAGTCATACATGTAAATGCCACATATGATAATCAAGATGGACTCACGTACAATACATGTCTGGAACCGCTTCAGATCAAGTTTCCAGATATTTTTTTACCTTTGCCATTGCCATCGAGTTGTCCCGAAATTTCCCGTGCTCAGTTGTTCGACAAACTGTGGCTTACCCTACAGCCAGATGAATCAAACCAGTGCGAGGACAGCACTTTCTGCTACAACGTGCTACAAAAGTCTCTATATGATGTTGCACAGTCTTATTTTTCCAACTTTGTTGTGGTTTATAAAGGCGATGAATACAAAATTGGTCTGTTTTTACCTCCGCAGTTTCATATATTAATGCACATTAAGAGTGAAAAGGACATCGCAAAGTTCTCTATCAGGACTGATAACTGGAAATTGCTGCCTCTTTTGAATTCCCACTTGCTGAACATCACATCACAGAAAGATCTATGAAGGATTAAGAGTTGGTCACATTTTGCTTTTGACATCTTGTGTCTGACACATTTTTGCATATAGAGTTGCTGTTATATGTGCAAAGATTGTAATATATATATTTATTGTAGATTCCAGTCACTGAATTCAGTAAGTTAATAGTTTGATGTACTGCAGTATTTTTCTAAAATAATAATAATTGTTTTAATTTGATTAAGAGTACGAAAAATCAAAAAGTAAATATTTTCATTATAAATGTGTAGATGCATTCTGTTTTTCATTGTGTTCTTGGTGGACAAGTAACCAATTTATAACGGATACCAAAGACACACTACTTTTTTAAATATTATTTTCATGGAATATTAAAAAAGACATTTAAGGATCAGCCAATATATTTGGGAGTAGGTCAGCTGCAATGCATATTTCGGCTAGTCAAATCTGACTTGTAAAAAAAAAAACTAAAATCTCTATCTAAAACATTTAGAACTGTTACCTCAATGTGACACCGCATTTTAAATCTTTAAATTGTTTATTTAATATTGACAAGGTAACTGAAAATTAATAGACTAAAAATCGCAGAATTGAAGACTTTTTGTCCAGTTTAGTTGTTTTTGCTTCCTATTTGAAATAACCTTGTCATTTCTCCACACTTCGTGACTTACAGCGCGTAAACCAATACAAGTTTCTTATCTTCTATGCTCCTAAAACTATTAATAATTTGGTTTAAATGTCTGCTGGTTCCTACATTGTTTTAACATTATCAGCACCTGTAACAGAATGTAAATAGGACAAGCAAGGTGGTGACAGGGTTGTTAACTTTTTAGCTGTACCCCATAGAACAGTCATAAATATCCTTTGGCATTAACTGTGTTCCGCAAGGCACAGTCTCTACTTGAAAAGATGTAATCCAACAGCTGAGGTGTTAGACATTTAGCCACATCGACTGTAATTTTAAATGAACTGAAATTGGTGTTTGCACAGTCACAGGCCCACATTAAGTTTTCCCCAAGCCTGGGAATCTGTACAGGTTTTAATAATGCAGTCTGGAGCAGTTTCCGCTTATCCAAAACACGCTACCAAATTTAAATAAATAAATTAAATTGACATAGTTATACTTGTTGCCTTGAGACAGCATTACTTGGCTATTTCTCTTTAGTATCAGTGTCTTTATTTGTATGCTGTTGTGGTATTACTGCTTTCTGTATTTAATGTTTTTGTGAACAAATTCTGCATTTAAGCACCACTATCACGTAAAGTAAACTTCTGTGATCCCTGTTCATGGCCAGTATAACACCATGGGTCTAGTGCACATATTTACATCCAGCATATTATGGGAAGATGGCTCTGTGACCTTTGCCAGAGTTAGTGATAGGGTAACTGTCTGCAGAACTAGTGCAAACAATGAGAAATTTACTTGAGTATACGATACTCTGTCACTATGTTAATGTGTATTTAAAATTTATGTAACCTGATGTCCCAGAAGAAACATTCACAAATAAAATTTTATCAGGCAATGAAGCTACTGGGTATAGAACCAAGAGCTTGTTCCCAAACTGTAGTAACCACTGATATTCCTAAAACACTGAAGGCAGTGGAGTAAAGACATTTTGCAGAAAACACATACAAAATTTAGATGTTTTAGCTCACACTCCTCAGTAAATGAAAAATGTTCAATTTTGGTATGGTAATGAACCTCGCTTTTGTCCGTGTATACCGAAAGGGCTGAGGGTGTCACATGTCAAACCGGTTACTAAGGGATGGCAGCAGGTGCCTCCTGAAACCATATCCACTTCAGCTCACCTTCAACTGTCCATCAATTAGTATTTCCCTCTCTTGCAATGTTCACAAAACTCTGCAAGTTTTATTCCTATGTATTTTTTTAGTAACCAGGAGATTAGTTTGGGTCACACTTAGTCCCGAGGTATTGGGATCCCCCAGGCCCATTACTAGAAAAGGATTGTTCATGCCCTGGGACCATATTATAATTCCCACTTCACTTTGTTTTCAACCGAAGACAATTTCAGAGCCTAGTGTGATGGGCCAGGGCTTTATGTATCTTTTGCCTAGTATATAACTCCCCTCCAATTGCTATACATCGGATTAAGGTAAAGGAATGATCCCTATGGAATTCAGCACATCCTGGTACATAGGTTATTCCCATTTTTCATTCCTTTTCTGCAGAGTGTGTGTATGTATGTACAAACTCTTTGGTCTTGAGAAAGGGTCAAGAACAGATCCAAAACGTTGATGTTACCCTAATAAATTTACTAATTTTTTTCACTAAACAAGTCCTGCGAGTGCCCACTTTTTTCCCCACTGATATATTTGGTTATATATTGGTTCCAGAGTGGCAACAGCACCAAGGTATTACAGGCATTACAACATTCCATATGGAAAAGCAATTGGAAAACAGTGAGTGCCCTCATACGTTTACTGAAATTTAAAATGAAAGGAATGGATATATATTTTCTTTTACTTAAAACACTGTCATCATATTGCACTTAAACTTTTCATTACAGAATGATAGGGGCCTGTAGAAAATTTTAACAGTAAAATCGAAATGGACTTCTGATTTTTTGGGTGGTTTTCAAGGTCTTAGACATCAGAAGTTCTTCTTTTATGTGGGTGGATTCCATAAGATAGAAAGGCCAAGCCCAATTTTAATTTGTCAGTCCTCTGAAGTTGGGCTCTACGCATGATGGAAGTGCAATTTGCTCTTTCAGCAGTTTATCAATAATATTAATTTCGGCATCTCTCTTCTCGATGTTCTCATAAGGTGTCCAGGACATGTCATGCTGGAGCTTGTAGGCAGCAAGGAATTCATGCGGACAGCTAGATCCCCACTCCTACATTTAGAAGAACACAGAAGGTAAATTGTAGTATTAAAGGAAGAAACCAACAAAACTACCTCTGACACGCTGGCTTTCAGCAGGAAAAATTCTTGCTAGCCTCAAGATAAAATCAGATTAAATGCCCAATGTTCTAGATCAGGGGTTTCCAATTTAAAGGACCACTATAGTGCCCTGAGGGTGCCCCCACCCAAAGGGTCCCCCTCCCGCCTGGCTCTGGGGAGAGGAAAGGGTTAAAACCTACTTTTTTTCCCAGCGTCGGGCGGGGAGCTCTCTTCCTCCTCTCCGCCTCCTCTTCGGGTGAATGCGCATGCGCGGCAGGAGCTGCGCGCGCATTCAGCCGGTCTCATAGGAAAGCATTTACAATGCTATCCTATGGACGCTTGCGTGTTCTCACTGATTTTCACAGTGAGAATCACGCAAGCGCCTCTAGCGGCTGTCAACGAGACAGCCACTAGAGGATTTGGAGGCTGGATTAACCCTAACAAACATAGCAGTCTCTCTGAAAATATAATATAATATATATTTTCCTAGAGGGACCTGGCACCCAGACCACTTCATTAAGCTGAAGTGGTCTGGGTGCCTAGAGTGGTCCTTTAAGTACCCCTTTACCAGTCCAGGATTTAGGGATTACCCTGTTGTGTCTAAAGTGTTGTGTTTTTTTTTTTAAAAAACACAACACTTTAGACACAACAGGGTAATCTGTAAATCATTGACTGTTAGTAGGTACTTGAGGACTGGGTTGGGAACCACTGTTCTAGATAATGTACTGAAAAAAAAAAATATATAGAAATTAAATTTAACAAACTCCATGACGCTAAGAAATTCAATGAAGTTCGCTATGAAGAGCAATTCTAGAGCAAAATGTTTAAAGTGGAGCAATTTGTAGGACTGTTACATTGATATCCATCTTGACTGCCCCAGTTTTAATACTTAAATCAACACTGACAGGTCTCCTAGTGTTCCTTCCCTGAGCACTGCAATTTATGTGCACCAGAGCCAGAAGCACATGCTTACTTGGCCAAAGATCACTCTGCTTTGTTTGGCAGCCTATTCACATTGCCATGACATCAGCTGTCATCGTAGGACAAATCAAAGTGATTTCTGGTCAGATAAGTGCTTGTTTCAGACTGAGGATCTTTTAAATGGCAGTGTTCAAGAACAATAAGAGAACCAGATAGTTTTCATTTAATACAGGTGAGTACAGCCTACGGGGCTGCATGAGGTCCTAAACCACTTGTAATGCAGTCCAGTGACCTTCTGGGCAGCGAGGGAGCTTATTACTGTGCTCTTTCTGCACAGCTCCCTTGTGCGCCCTGCAATGAACTGGCAGCTGGGATATGACATCTCGACATTGGCATCACACTGGGCAAGCAAGGGACCTGTGCAGGACGAGCACAGTGATGCCATTACAGCAGCAACCACTGGCCAACAGGGACAGGATCCACTCCAGACCTACCAGAGCAAGGTAGGGAGGCTGGGTGGACCTCTTAATTACTAAAATGTGTGCGTATGCATGAGTTCTGAGTGTGTATGCCAGTAATAATTTTTCTGTGATTGTGTATATGTATGTGTTTCGTACATAACTCCCTAATTTGGTACCCCTAAATATGACAATACCACCTAAGAATAACAAATAAGGAAGTTATCTACTAAGCAAATTAAATCTCAAAATTAAGAAAGGGGCTTTTAAATTTTATTAAATAAATTATAGTATATTCTATATTTTATGTGCGGCCCAAGACAATTACTCTTCACTCAATGTGGCCTGGGAAAGCCGAAAGGTTGGACACCCATGATTTAATACAAGGTGTATAAAATAACTATCACTTGCACATAAGAAACATACTAACGTGCACCTGCCTGTTTGTTTTCATGTGCATTTCCAGTACAGGTGGTATCTCCCTGTGCTGAAATTTTTCAACTATCATGTAGAACTGTCAGTTTAATTGAAAAATGTTCAATGTTTGACGAAATTTACTATCTTTTACTGTGGCAGTTATCAAAATACAACCCAGCAGTAATACTATATGAGATAGTAAGTACAATCACACTGATTGCTAATCTGTAGGCTTTAGCGGTCATTCTCCTAGCTATGTCACATTGCAGAGCAGGAGTATCCAATTATCACATTACCAAACTTCCGCTGTTGGTGAACTACAATGCCCATTAAACTTTACCAGCCACTTGCTGTATTTTTGTTCAACAAATGTTTATGCATGTTGTAGTTGGCTAACTATTGGAAGTATCTGATTAGAATACTTGGCACAGAGCAGGGGTAGGCAAACTTCAGCACTCCAGATGTTCTAAACAACATTTCCCACAATGCTCTAACAACCATAATGCTGGTAAAGCATCAGGGGAGACACAGATAACAACATACAGGGAGTGCAGAATTATTAGGCAAGTTGTATTTTTGAGGATTAATTTTATTATTGAACAACAACCATGTTCTCAATGAACCCCAAAAACTCATTAATATCAAAGCTGAATATTTTTGGAAGTAGTTTTTAGTTTGTTTTTAGTTTTAGCTATGTTAGGGGGATATCTGTGTGTGCAGGTGGCTATTACTGTGCATAATTATTAGGCAACTTAACAAAAAACAAATATATACCCATTTCAATTATTTATTATTACCAGTGAAACCAATATAACATCTCAACATTCACAAATATACATTTCTGACATTCAAAAACAAAACAAAACAAATCAGTGACCAATATAGCCACCTTTCTTTGCAAGGACACTCCAAAGCCTGCCATCCATGGATTCTGTCAGTGTTTTGATCTGTTCACCATCAACATTGCGTGCAGCAGCAACCACAGCCTCCCAGACACTGTTCAGAGAGGTGTACTGTTTTCCCTCCTTGTAAAATCTCACATTTGATGATGGACCACAGGTTCTCAATGGGGTTCAGATCAGGTGAACAAGGAGGCCATGTCATTAGATTTCCTTCTTTTATACCCTTTCTTGCCAGCCACGCTGTGGAGTACTTGGACGCGTGTGATGGAGCATTGTCCTGCATGAAAATCATGTTTTCTTGAAGGATGCAGACTTCTTCCTGTACCACTGCTTGAAGAAGGTGTCTTCCAGGAACTGGCAGTAGGACTGGGAGTTGAGCTTGACTCCATCCTCAACCCGAAAAGGCCCCACTAGCTCATCTTTGATGATACCAGCCCAAACCAGTACTCCACCTCCACCTTGCTGGCGTCTGAGTCGGACTGGAGCTCTCTGCCCTTTACCAATCCAGCCACGGGCCCATCCATCTGACCCATCAAGACTCACTCTCATTTCATCAGTCCATAAAACCTTGGAAAAATCAGTCTTGAGATATTTCTTGGCCCAGTCTTGACGTTTCAGCTTGTGTGTCTTGTTCAGTGGTGGTCGTCTTTCAGCCTTTCTTACCTTGGCCATGTCTCTGAGTATTGCACACCTTGTGCTTTTGGGCACTTCAGTGATGTTGCAGCTCTGAAATATGGGCAAACTGGTGGCAAGTGGCATCGTGGCAGCTGCACGCTTGACTTTTCTCAGTTCATGGGCAGTTATTTTGCGCCTTGGTTTTTCCACACGCTTCTTGCGACCCTGTTGACTATTTTGAATGAAACGCTTGATTGTTCGATGATCACGCTTCAGAAGCTTTGCAATTTTAAGAGTGCTGCATCCCTCTGCAAGATATCTCACTATTTTTGACTTTTCTGAGCCTGTCAAGTCCTTCTTTTGACCCATTTTGCCAAAGGAAAGGAAGTTGCCTAATAATTATGCACACCTGATATAGGGTGTTGTGTCATTAGACCACACCCCTTCTCATTACAGAGATGCACATCACCTAATATGCTTAATTGGTAGTAGGCTTTCGAGCCTATACAGCTTGGAGTAAGACAACATGCATAAAGAGGATGATGTGGTCAAAATACTCATTTGCCTAATAATTCTGCACTCCCTGTATGGAGTGCCAAAGGTCCCCTACCCATGGCATAGAATAGGATAGGAGAAGTTGCAGTAATTTGCAGTAAATTTGCAGTAAAAAAAAGGGAAAAGAAAGGCATTGATAATGTTCTTCTTTTTAAAAGTAAATTGAATGTTTTACCTTTGGTGAAAGAATAGAGAAATATCTTTGTCCACTTTCTCGTTTGTAGAGGTAATAAATGTTCCCTGGCTTCTTAACAACATTACAGGCTGCATGGTGCAGATCCGCATCTCTCTTTGCCTCCTCCAACACCTGCATAAAAAAAAAAAACAAAAAACAAACACACACACACACACACACACACACACACACACACAATCAATAAGACATGGCTAAATAAGATATATCATTCAGGTTGTAGTAAACGGTCATTGACCTCTTAGACAGCTTAATAATGCTTTATTTACATATATTAGAAAATGTACGAAAAATGTCCCAACTGGACAAAGAGACCAGCACAGTGCTACAAGCTTTGGTTGAAATGTAATAATATACTTACTTTTATGATCCTCTACGTTTAATCTAATCGTTATGAAAAGTTGGGAATTAAAAAACAAAATAAGGCCAAAATAGGAAATTTTGTTACTTGGCTGCTAAAGTTTTCCTATCTCATGTCACTGTTTAGTGAATAAGTCCCAAGTTTTCACTGTCAGTATGTAGTTATGAACGAATCACTCACCAGAATAACTCTCTTCTGTACAAATTACTATCGATACATTTAGGGTTAGTGGGGCATAGTATACGAAGGGTAGAAAAAGATGATGGAAAAAATATATATATTTTCTAACCCAGTGTGAGATGACTGGGCAGACGCTATTCATATCTTTATTTAGAGTAAGGAACAATGGTAACATTCTATCCTGTAACATACTGACAGTGACAAATATCTTGTGCTGCCTTTATTACTCTATGCCAATATTATGATTACTCAATGTATTTTTTTTAGTCATCACGTACAAACATAAAGGGTCTGTGTGCTACAGCATACACCAATTTAACACTCCATTTGTAAATTATGATTACGGTAAAACCGTTGTATAAAGAGGCAACACTGAAAGCAATTGTACATCTGCTTCAAAAGAATTATAACGTGTCCCTCTGTTACAAACTGGTTAGGCACTCTGAAAACCAAATCACACTCATTTATTAAATTTTGTACAGTGAACCTGTGAAGAAAAAATGACTTTGTCTAATTCAGTCCCATATGCATTAAATACATCTTATATCATAGAGATACATGATGTTTTTAATGCAAGATAATAAGATTTACTCGCCATATCCTCATTCCAGCACCAGCCTTTTCTTGTCTTAATGGGTATAACACGCACCTTTGGTCCGCCTGAGCTACTCCTGCAGTCTCCTGTGATTTACCTTGCTTGGGAACACTTCCTCAAGCAGGGCAAATCCCTGCTTCCGCAATGCCGAATAACTGATTAAAAGGTAGGAGAAAAATCTATTTAAAGGAACACTATCGGGTCAGGAACACAGACATTTATTCCTGACGATATAGTGTTAAAAAACATGCTAGCCCGTCTTAAATAACCAGAAAACTCCCCTTATTTCTAGCACAGCGCAGGTCTGCCGGCGCTGGCCCCACCCCTGATCCGCCTCATTGGCTGATTATCTCAACCAATCATAATGCTTTCCCATATAAAAGCATTGAATTGGCTGAGATCGTCAATTCTGATTATCTCAGGCAAGGAGGCGGAGCTATATGCCACCCTGGTCAATC